AGTGATTAACTTTGCATTTCAGCAAGTATAAGAATTATCAATTATGTAAATGAACTTATGTCGGTATTATCTGAAGGAGAATAACATATTCAACATCTATCAAAACTGGAATGTCTAAACACTTCTCTTTCTTAAGAAACCTCCAGTTATTTCGAAAGTGTCCCATTTTTTACTGTTCATCCTAATACTTCCTGCCGTTGAAGATGCAGGCAGACTCAATGAAAGTTGAATTTACATGTAGTTTTGGTTTCATAATCCATTCCCCCAAATGGAAAATATTCGTTCCATGTGAACGCCTCTAAGAAGTCTCATTATTTTCGAATATTTTGTTCAATCTTTTGATTTCTTTCAGTAAAATCTTTAAGCTCGTTCAAAAGCTTTGGCAATCAATTGAATTATGTTGAAAGGAATTTCCGGAGTCATCTGACTTTTCAATAAACAACAATGTAGCCTTCACGAGTGCATGGAAAGGCCTATAAATGACAACGTTTATTAGTTGATCTTGACGATTTCGTCCCTCATTGTTACGTGTTCTATCCTCTTCGTCGTCGACAGTATCCAGCCTTTTTAAACTCTGATAGATCGGAGACATTTTCCAAGATCAATAAGCTTTATTATTATTTGGTCGTACTTTGTAATGCCTAAGTGAACATTCTAACGATATTGGTGTATCCTGTTCTTAGAACAGTGCAAATTTTGGTTGCAAAAATATTCGTAACTTTTTTCGGAAGAGCACGGCAGGTATCGAAGGCAGATTTGGAATCAGCCCTTCATGGTGCTTCTGATGTTGTAGTTGCAGTACAAAAGACCACGGTCATAAAGTATCCTTCCCTTGTAGTAGTCCGTGCAAATGGGCACTGAACCTTAGAAATTTTTCTTGATAGGCATCATTCTTGGCTTGCAAATCACGCCTTACCATTGGATATGTCTACATTGTTGGTATGACTAAGCTTAGTCCATTCAAACAAATTTCGATTCATCTGCACCTACTCGTTTGCGATAGAACTACTTTGTTTCACCTAGTTGTTATCTAGTTGTTACCAATTCGACTCAGTGTTGAAAAACGACATAAACCACCGCGAAGAGAACTTACAGTTAGAGTAGTGGGCTAATATTCATTGCCTTGCCCAACTTGGTGAAGACAACTCGGGTGCGGTGGATTTCCTGATGTACCGCAGCTCCAACAACTACATTAGCTAATCTGGCCAAGTGCAAGTTGTAAGGAGCGAAAAAGTCATGAAAATGTGAATACACTATGGAAGTTGGACATATAGTGTGGACCCCGCCCAGCTTCCCACAGGTACCTCCGCGACGCGCGCGCAGCGCATGCCTTTAGTGCGCTTATCGTCTCAACTCTACTGGACTTTTTTGCTTTTCTCTTCTAAGTGACTTTGTTCTCTGCTGTAATTTCTCTATTTTAGGTGTAAAGACCTCACGACAATTGCCGCTGATGAGTTTTCAAGAGACTTGACAGTCTTGAGTGCTTTCAATCGAAAATCTTTTTTTTTCTCGACGGTGAAGATTTGGATGTAGTATATGGGGATGTCTCTTCAATGGCTGCTATTACAGGATAAGCCTGTATATCCGATTGGATTTTATTGAAGATGTTTCTAGGCTTTTTTGATGCGCCGTTAGGGTTTTGCTTCTAACCTTTTCCTCTCGACCTCAAATCTTCTAGTTTTTGTAGCCACAGAAGAACAACGTTTTAAAGTGTTCCTCGACTTCTCCTGGTACCTCTATCACCCATCACTTGTAGTATTATACTAGCATCAATGAGATGACTAAAATCTGGGCGCTAGAGGAAGTTTTGAACATTCTCTTAATGCTATGGCTTTTCTCAAGTTTCGTGTAGAAGTTTCCACTTCTCATCTAACTCTTTTTTCAAGTGGAAATGCTTTCGTGTTCATAAGTGAGATGAGAAGCGTCGAGCCCGCGTTGCGTATGCGACGCGGGGGTACCTATGGGAAGCTGGCCGGGGTCCATACTATATACAAGATGTCCCAAAAAAATGTGAACACTGTTTGATCGTTAATAACTCTCTTGCTTTCACGCCTTTCGCCGAGCTTAAGGTATTATATTCTGTAGAGCGAGGTTCAATTCAGATTTACAGCATGGAACAAATTTCCGAACTTTCTTCGTTACTGTAGGATTACGGTATAAACTTTGAGAAGGAATTTAGGGAAGTGAAAGCGATTTTTGCCTCAGAAAGAAAACCAATTAAACCAGGAACTCTTGTACTGGACTAATCCATGTCACCGATTTTAAACATGAAATTTGCACTTCACTGTGACGGTTCCTTCATAAGTTATTTCTGGCTTAGGGTAACATCTGTTCAAGTTTGTAAGAAGTCTGATTACACTATTAAGAGAGCTCAAAACTGGCGAAAAGTTGTGTACTGGAATCAGCACGCTTGAAAATGTTACCACACAAATTTTTAGATTTTTTTGGAATTTTTTTCAATAAAAGGCCTATTCCACAGTGGCGCAAAATCCTGAGAGTTTATACCGTAATCCTACAGTGACGAAGAAAGATAGGAAATTCTCTCATGCTGTACGTCTAAGCTGAACCTCGCTCTACAGAATAATATCTTAAGCTCAGCGAAAGATGTGAAAGCAAGAACAAGATTTTAGGGATTATGTACCCACAAAAATTTTAAGAAGCACCCCAAAAAATTTTTCGGAGTGCGTGACTAACGCCACGCACCTTCATTTAGAAATTTTTTTTGCCTCGCCCCGCTCCGCCGGTCCGAAATCCTGGGACTGCTACTGACGGACCGTACTTACATTTACCGTACGATGATGAATGTCGCGCCAACTGTAAAAAAAAAATGCAGGAAAACCTTTTCGGTGATATGAAAACATAAGTGGTGAAAAGAGGCCCATATCACTAAAGTTGCCATGTTAGTGAATACTAGGGAGAGTACAAAGAAGATCTAACTTGCTGGAAAGAGCTTAATGACAAGCTTCAAACTGGAAATGTGAGGAATGACAAAGAGGCAGGCCCCGAATAAAGGGTAAAAAGATGTATAGAAGATGGAAAAGTCGATGCAAGCAGCAACCAACCTAATATGGCCCTAATTCGATCTAATTATGTGGAAAACTTTTCAATCGAATAAGCAACTGACATATAATAAAGTAAACGTCATATGCGTCAGCAATATTCTTTGCAGGTTGTTTCTGACGGCAAAGCTTTCCTGCTGTGCACCAAAGCGGAAACAGTTTTTCGGTTCTATTCCAAAACGGAAGGTATTTGGCAAAAGTCCTAAAAAATTCAAATGGACATGGGTACAGGTTCATTTTTCATTTCGTAACTTTTTTGGAATTCTGCAAATCCATAAAGCTGAATGTCTGTCTGTATGTATGTATGTTCGGAACCGATCCGGACCAAACTCGGCACACATACACTTCGGGGTGGGGCGGGTGTCATAGGCTACTTTTCGTCATCGATCAATATCGATTTTATCAATTTTATCGATTTTTTGCAAAGTTTGAGCTACGAAGCTGGAAGTTGGCACAGGGGCGTAATCGAGCATGCTGATTACGAATACAATATTGATTTTCGAAATTATCCGCTTCTTTTACCGATTTTATCGATTTTTTGCAAAGCTTGAGCGACGGGAGTTGACACAGAAAGGAAATCTAGCATACTGATTTCTAAAACAGCGGGAATAGGGAATTGGCATGTAAACTTGAGCAAGGGAAAGTTTATACGGGGATTTGAATGAGAGCTTTATCATAGCGTTTTGACAGATCCAGGCGGAGCCGGGTAAGCCAGCTAGTACACGAAGAACTTGAAACAAACAAGGAAGCAAGAAAGCAGTAGCTGGCTCAATGAGATTTGAGCCAGCTACTGCCTGTTGCAGACCTTTTGTTTTGCTGCATACTTTTCTCAGAGAGTACTAAAGATAATTTTGATGATTTTAGTGTAAGATAAACAGACTGTTTTGTCAGAGGCTTAACTTACCATCCTCAAAGTGGACCAAAAGTAAATAACTTCCAAGTTGCTTGATACAGCAACGGACACAACGTACCGCAGCACTGATGAGTACTGAACATTTAGGACGGCCACGGGATAGAGGAAAGCGATCTCGACAAAATGCTCGCAGTCAGCTATCGGACCGAAGGTACCAGCTGTAGAAGTAGAGCGAGTCACGGCAAAACATCGGAACTCAAGCTAGCCCGGAAATGGCGGAACAAACGCATGGTCAAGAATGGATCCTACCTTCTGAACGATGGGGACTGCAAGAAGAAACGTTTCTACACGCGCCTTGCGCCGAAAGCATGCGTAGTATAATATCCAATTCTGTTATTCTGTTATTTGTTTCCAGTTTCTGGTTGTCTCTCGGGGATATGCTTGATGTGACCAATTACATGGTGGTGGTTCTTTGCCTTCCTTACGGCTTTTGCCGCGCGCCCCACCGTGGTCAATAATAGGTATTAGCAATCTAAATTCCATAACATATGTATGTATCTTGTTTTTCTTGCCATGAATTTATCCGCGTTGCACCTCTTTAGCCACCGGGTACCTCATGGCCCTTGATAATGAACTTGGTGACACCACTACTCACAAATAAACGAACTTCATATTGCATTGATACTAGCATTGCTGGCCAGAAGGTATCCTGTCTGGAAGAAGGCTATATAAAAGAGTCCGAATGCCAAGTTCTGGAATCGTTTCTTTTGCCGCGTTGCTGTTCTCACCCATTCTGATACCCAACTAGTTCTACCAAAGGAGCGCAACCATAGACGAACGGGTTTAGTTTCAAGAAGCAGGCCCAAATCCTTCCTTTATAGGGTTAGAATTGTTGGACCGGAGATAAAATGACTTCGATCAGGTCCTGGCTATAGACTTCCACATCCTATGGGCGTGTATTGTGCGGCCTTGGAGGATGACTCCTAAAACAGACTCGAGCACCACTGAATATTGCTGGTAAAACACATCTGTCGCAATTGTGATCAATACTTCCATTTATCAACAAACACAATCTTTTGCTCATAAGATAACAGTAGCATGTAAGGTTCATTCAAACTTTATTACATGAAACTATATCATATCTTGCGTTGTTCCTTCGAATGTTCCTTATCAGCGTGGTGGGAGCGGTCCCGATGTGGTCTGAAAAATTTGCCCATTTTCCAGAAGCAAGGCAATTATGCAAACTGATACCTTCATTTTTGTGGGAGAAGCTTGAATTACGAAGTGGAAGTGACGCGCTCCCTAAGTGTTAGGTCAATTCTTGATATGTCAACAAAGGGACACCTACTTTCTGTTCAAGAGCTTCGTTGGTTTGATGCTGAACTTCACGGAATAGTGTATTGAATTGCTTGAGGTCATTATGGATAGTATTAACCTGTTCCTAAATTATTTAATAAATAGCTAACGTTTCAAGAAAACGCAAATATGCTAGTGGTGTTTCTATTGATTAGCAATGAGAATCCTTACTTATATATCTGCGCAAGGTGGTAAAGTTATTTTGCTTGATTGGAATCAATTGTTCTCGTTTTAGTGCCACTTAAGAATTCCGTATCAATCTTTGAAGAAAAGCGTGTGAGAAGTTTAACCGGAGCAAGTCTATTAAGGACCGTATGCACGTACATCCCCACTGGGGAGGGGAGAAAATTTGAGAGGGGAAGCGTTAAATTCGTTACTCTAAACGTCTGCATTTTTCTTTTTCTGTCTACGTTTCAAAGATTTTCACAACCAGACGATTAAGTACGATGGATGGCAGAACATTACCATACAAGCTGAGATTTCCACTGTTTGTGATCAGCAGGGATCTTCAGGTGATTGCCTCTTGTTTTCAAAGTAGTCTATCTTTCTAGGAAGTCGAGAAAAACGCCGTAAAGTTGTTACTGAGGATCTACTATGGCACTACTAGAGAGGTTTCGACTAAATGCTATAAAACTGTACCGGGGATATTTTGGCAATGCTAAACATGTAAACAAACGGATTGTGATTTTTTCGATGAACCTCAGCTCGCGAACGCAAATTCATCGAAAATTTCGATATTTTGATAATTTACTAATTTCTACTGTGAACATGTTTAGCATTGCCAAAATATCCCCGGTACAGTTTTATAGCATTTTCATCGAGTTTATAGGAAGACAAATGACTTTTGAAAATGTGAGGTGATCCCCTGCAGATCCCCAGAGGACAAACGAAACATTGGAAATTTCAGCTTTTATGGCAATGTTCTGTCATCCATTATACTCAAGTATCAGGATCAAAAAACTTTAAAACATAGGCAGGGAAAGGAAAATACAGTTGGAGTGAAATACGACGCGTCCCTCTCATTGTCAGTCAGATCCCCTCCCTCCTCCGCGGAGGTGTACGTGCACACGGGCATGACTCATGAGCCCAAAGGTAGATTTGTGCCGAACAATGTTGAATTCAGTGCCAGGTAAAACTGCAAATGGAAGTAACTTACGACGTATTGCTCTGCCTGTGGTATAACAGTGCCAGCAGTGAACTGCACTTTACGTAACTCTTTCTCTGCTTTTAGTAGGTGGTTGATGGCATTTAGAGAGCTCTTCTCTAACTCCGTTGTGCCATAAAATGGACGACATATGCGCGGTGGTGAGCTGGAAGTGCCAAGTTCTTAGATTTTCAGTGTTTGATAATCAAGCAACTTCAGCCGCGCTGCTCGATGCACTTTTGGGCATGCTCTCTCAGCTTTAGATCAATCTAGAATGACTACACATCTGATCTCAATGCGGACCGGAGTACGGGTAACTATAACGCCTCCATATTACGGACTCGAGCCTGTTCTTGTCGTGATCTTTTGGGCTAACACTAACAAGAGAATCCTTTTTAGTCGAAATGGCGTTTTTTACTATTTTGAAGAGCATTGCACGGTGGCTTCAAATCTGTCTTCATTGTCTACCAAGCGCTTCTGATTGCCGAGTTATGATCGTTTTTTGAAACGAAAAATGGATGCATTTGGGTAAAATTAATTGTTACAATCTTTCCAGCGCTCAGACAAAGTAATGTTAAGTATCTATTCAATGTATGCATTACTGAACTGCTTTAGTACTCGAGACTGCACCATTTGAGCAAATTTGGGCAATTTCGTTCCAGTTTTGCATTCAATTTTTGAACCGAAAACGCCCATAACTCGGCGTCCAGTGGCGCTTGGCAGATTTGGAATCACTGTGCATTACTCTCCAAAGCAACATGGGTCTCGTCTGAAAAGGCCACTTCGACTAGACGCGCTTTCCTTGTAAGTTTTTTTGAGGACATCTCAAATTCAATTTTCTATCAGTTAAGCCACTATTTGACAGAGCAATGAAAGCTCCACAAAATAGCTTCCGAATATTTGCACAAAATTTGATTCACATTGAGTTTGAAGTCAGAATAAATTTTTGAAATTAGCCGAATGATCTTCATTCAGAAAAATTTTTTCCAACTGCTCATACATGCACCAATCACTGCAAGAATGCACTGCTGTATTTTATTGATGGCTAGAAATCAGGAAAACGAAATTGGCTGAGCCATTCGCGCGCATATAATCAATTCTGACCACAAAAATCTGGAATTACCAGTGGCCAGCCTTTAATAAACATAATAACATTTTAGGTTGATGCAAAAATAATAGTCGTTTTTCTAAGCCTTTTCACGACAACTTTTTCCGTCAAAATTTCTTCTTTGAAACCACAGCATACCTTTGAGAAGATCGTCCTCCCAACCTTATCCAAGCATATACTCAGCTAGACATGTGACATTTGCCATAACCACTTGCTCTAATTTTTTCCTCCATGGAAAAATAACGTTTCGGCAAGTTGCCTTCTTTAGAGCCTGGCATGGACAGAACGACTTGCAAACCACCAGAAAAAACGTCTCTGCAGCTATGCAAACAAATCTCTAAGGCTTAGGTAGACTGACAATCCTGCCTGACCAAACACTCACCTTTTGAAACGCCGATGGAATTTTGATGCCAGAGCGAGAGCTATATGGTTAAAGGCAGTGGCTCGGCAAATCTCAATCTAGTCAAATTTTCGCTTATCTGGGGTTATTCAATACGCTGGTCCTGAAAATCCATTTCTGCGAGCTTCAGAACGGCGAAAAAGAGCCTTTTTCAATGTCCTTCCCTTCGGAATTGGACGAGTGGAGCAAGGCTGATGATGCTGGAACGTTGCGGGACCCAATGGTTACAGCATTGCGACGGGCAGCCCTGAGGAAGAAATTGTCAACTTGTCCGGAAGCGTGTAAGATTGGCCTGCGCGTGTAAGTTTGAGAGCCATTTTCTCGGAAGGGAAGGCATGCTGTGCAACTAGGCATGCACCGTTTTCATACTCGGGTGATGTGGAACCTATCGCGTTAAAATCCGTTGTTGAGTTTTGCCGATCCACTGCCTTTGAACGCTAATGGCATGGCTATTTATAAAGTCTCCGGGGGTCAGAAGATCTGACGTAGGTACGGAGGAGTTCACAGGTGATGGATGGGCATTCTTTCTTACGATTCATTTTAGGGCTTTTGGCATGAACCCAAAGGCCTCTAAACATTTGCGAGCCGATGTATGTGATTCATGCGTCAGGATTTTCACTTTAACATCAAATTTGTCTCTGCCGTCTAGGTGCTCTCTAATGCGAGCACATAGCGGCCGCGCAGTCTCGCTTATGTACTCGTCGCCTGTAACCTTCTTGAGACGAAGCAAAATCGGATTACTCCAAAATTCAATAAATTGACTTCGAACTCCAAGTAAATCAGACCTGCGAATGCTCGGAAGCTGTCTCATAAGGCTTACATTGCTCTATTAGCTAGTGAAGCAACGTAAGCTGATCAAAACTGACACCGGAAAGCCTTCGAATTAGTTGAAGTTGTCGTTACATTGAAAAACTTAGGAGGCAAACTAGTCTACAAACCCTCCTTCGCTGATCTCAAAGTTTTTGTATAATAAAGTCTCACCTACCCCTGATTTCGTTTCTTCATGTGTGAGTCACTCCCACCATCCCTGTGGATATAAGCACCAGTATCATCCACCAGGTAAGGACAGACAGCATCTGGGCAACGCGGACCTTTCCTCTTAGCCGGCAATACAATCTCGGCTTCGTTTTTAAGAGAGCGCATGCCGACACGCTCTGCTCGTCCCGATACCTCATCTTTAGATTCGCTGTTCTTAATAAAATGTGGACAACTGTTTACACTGCCTTCACATTCGTAAAGAACCGCATAGTCACACCCATCTCCTCTCGTCTTATGAGCACCGCATAGGCGCTCGTGTTTCTTCTCCTTAACAAAATTGCCTTGAGGCTTTATCCCTTGCTTTTTTTGATGAAAGCAAACAGCGTCCGATATGAATGGGTACTGATTTTGTTTCTCTGGTGGTGATTTCTCAACGGCTTTCTTCTGACCGCAGGAACAGCAGGTCACAAACTCGCCCTCTTTCATTACATCATCAATCTTTACATGGCTGAAATGGTTTTCAATTTGTGTACCATCGAACTCTTGTAGATCGTAACTAATGTTTAAATGAAAGCGAATCGTATTAGTGTAGTCGAAAAATGCGGTAATTTTCATCGAAATCTGCTAGCATAACAATTCCTTCGACAATAGCACCTTTTTGCCCAAGTTTACCCAAAGCTTAAAAGAAAACTTACGGGGAAGTGGAAAAGTATTTATCCCATGCATCAGCGGCACGTCGCTTATCGTACTGAAACCCAAAAATACATTCATTAGCAAGGGAGAAGAACTGAACCATAGTAAAGTTCAATTCCATTGAGAAAAGCGTAATAATCTATGTTCGTATAGCAAACAGAAGTTGGGGTAGTATTATTCGTAAAATTAGCTTTCGCAGGGATAATGAGATGTAGGATAGCTGGTTTGATTGATCTGCTGGCAACTCATATGACAGGTATCTGAAGAAGGAGACGATACGTAATTAGTGGAGGACTCCACATAATTTTCCTTCACAAGATACGAGAGGACCTCAAGAACTATCGACCAATCATCATGGTGCGTATCTCGAGGTCATTCGATAAGGTACAATCATCCAATTAAGCCGGATTCCGTGAAAGATTTGATCACAACCAGAGTTGAGCAGGAGATCAGGCACAAGTATCTCAAAAGCGACCCCCCCCCATCTTTCTCTCCTGAAAGCCCTAAAAAACTCCCTTCCTCCTCTTCACCTCCGATTACCTCAGAATGGTTCTAGGGGAGGCATGTTCTCGCCGGGGAGCGAATTGCAGCTTGAAATGAAGCTTCACATCCTGAAGCTCCAGGTATCTGGATTCCACGCCGTATCACCGGTCCGTAAGTATTCTCAGCATCCTTCACTATGAACATTGGAGCGGGCTAGAAGCTATACTAGAAACATTTTCCAGCTTCTTGTATGATCCCTGATGACTTCCAGTGGCCAACCGTCTTTCCTTAGAATTATTTTTCTTTCTTCGTAGTCAACGAAAACTCCAAAGTTGTATTGTTCGTCTAACTCAACGTGCTAAGCAGGTTGCTGATAAGAACAGATGGGTTTTGAAATATCGAGATTTTTGATAAACCCCAACTTTTGACTTTGTTCGCCGCAAATTTCAATTTCAAACATCACTTGTTCTTACCAGAAACATGATTAGCGCTGTTGGGTTAGATAATCGGTACAACTTTAAAATGTTTTCAGTAGCTGCAAGAAAGAGAAGTGACTTTAATACTCGATCGCGATATTTCCACGATTTACTGAATAATTTGAGTTCTTAAATACGGCTCCCCCCCTCAGCCTTATGCCAATACGATTTCTCTCCCCCCTCCTCCTCCCCCTCCCCCAGGTTAGGCACACCTGACTTTACGTTCAGCCCTTATCGCAACCGTCCTCTCAACGACAGTGGTGGTATGTCGATCATGCCAGCTGCCCTCTCTCCTCACCTTTGTTAATTACGAAAAGGCCTTTGATAGTAATCAATGGCGTTTCTGCTTGGACCGACCAAGGAGTGAACGCTATAAACATAAGGATCATAGCAGACTGCAGCAAAGGATGCATCACCACGATACAGCTGTCCGACAATCCGCCCCACATCTAAATTGGGGCAGGAGTATGACAACGCGACATTTCGTCGCCAAAGCTGTTCACTGTAGCGCTGGAATGGTGCATGCAGCTCTAGCTGAAAGAGATTATTCAGCGAGCGCTTGCAGAAAATTTTGTATTGCTGCCCGCTGGCAAAACACGGAAGTACCGCTCGCTGAAGGTTTGGCCACGCCCCAAAATTTTGCTGACCGCTTGCAAAAAAGCGCGAGTTTACGACCGCCTGCCCCCAACGATTATCTGAGAAGATGTGAAACTTTTGAAGATAAGTAAGTTCAGATAGTGTCAAGGGATTCAGAGCAGGGCCCGGCACAGATCGAATAGCTAGACTTCGTTTTTTTGGGACAAAAAGCAAACGGATATCGTTTGCGCGGAGTCCAGGAAGGAGCCCCGAAAAAAATTGCGTACATGGGACTAGCGGATAAGTGGAGGAAAATTGCACATGTACAGTGTGCAAGACAATTAACACACTTCTGGTAGTACCAAAAGCGACCACTCAATGCAGCTTTGAAAACAGGTTATCACATGATGGACGTGCTCTATTGTGTCTTGCAAAAAGTGCGCGATCTTATAGCGAAGCCAAAATCAACACATTGCCTGTTCATAACGTACAGAAAGCATATGACACCAAATTTGGACTGTAGACATAGAATCTTAAGGAAGAATTACGTAAAAAATTCTGAAACTTGTGTTAGATAAAATCTTTTCAAAAATTAGTCCACTATTTCCACGGTCACCATGCGATCATAGATCGTATGGTATTTTTTATAAGTTCACATATGTAGATTTTTCTTATCTTGAACGGATTCCCGGTCAAGAATTTGTTTTTGAGCATGAAGACATTTTCATATCGCATTTCCTGTTTTTTGATTTCTTCATAAATCGCTTTGTTAATAATCGCGTCCAATGTCAGACTCTTGTGCATGCGTAGTATTCATCTCCACTTCAAATTTTCACTCCCATTTCACGCCTTTCCTTTCAGACTAACAACTCTCTATTTTTATCTTCTATCAAGTCGATAGGTTTCCGATGATGTCAAACGAGACTTCGCAAAATTTTTGGTAAGGGATACTCCGTCTTAAGAAACCCTAGAAATCGAATCGTGCCGGGCCTGATTTGGAGCTTCACCTAAGGCGTTTTCCGCGACATCAAAATATAATTCAGAATCATCCAACATACAACTGCGTATCAAGACCTTGGTTGATGTGGATTGCTCGAACCCGTAACCGAATGATCAAAGTCAGGACGCGCACGACGAGTGAGGATGGGTCCTCTGACCTATGTATAGGTCATTAATATGTACAGTCGTGACGACGGATCTGACTGCGGACTTTGCGCCCACAAGAGCACAAAACGCTCATACAAGAAGACATCACCTCAATGCTTGGCTGTCACTTCCAGTGTCTGAATACTATCGTACGTAAGCAAAAAAACCATATTAGAAATGAAAATCAAGAAAATGCGGTTTCCGGAAGTAGCGCCGTGTCGCGCGCTGTCGTGCAATCGTCACGATTTCTCAAATGCTCTATAAATAAGCAGGTAACTTTAAAATCCTAATTAAGATACAGGGGAGGATGGCAGATAGATTTGAGGTACGATGACCGCATGAGAGATTCCCGCTGTTTTTATCGAATCTCCTACAGTTTATTCTTAAAGAAAACTGAAAATAATACCCAAGGTACATCTTGCGATGCTTACGACGTTGGTTATTCATTAATCTTGTTACCGCTTCAGAAATTAGTCACCGCCTTTTAGTCAGCAGGACACAAACTTGATTCATTTGAAATATTCACCATATTCTTCTCCTCCAAAGCTCGCGATGCAGCCTCAGCGATGTGCCAGTACGGTAACGTCAACCGCTCCTCTGGAATGTCATCAGCGGCTCTCGGACTGACTTTCCCATCGCCATAGCACTTCTTAACTGACTATTCTTACAAAGAAAATCTGAGACAAACGATGTGTACCTTGTCTTCACAAAATGCTGGTCTGCCATAAGATGGTTCAGCGGTGCCAGCGGACAGTCCCTAAAGCGCGATCTGCAACAACTCTTCTGCGCGACAATGTAAACTCACCTGTGGATAGACATTTACGAGTGTTATCCCCTTATCCTCCTTACATGAGTGACAGCGAGTACCAAATGTTGTGGCGTAAACGTTCGTATGCTTCTTTGCATATTCATCGCAAGTAGCTTGATAAAGATGTAATTGTTTTCATTTTTATGCTATTCAAGAATAAACCTGGTTGATTATGACGAAGATTATGACGAGCGTGTGTGCATAAATCTTGCGCCCGCTTACACAATGATTCTATTGTCTCGGACACAATCTAAACTTCAGTATTCAAGAAGAAGAAAAACGAATTTTACATTGTGCGATTCAAATCACAGATTAAGTACGTGAGTTTCTTTCTTCAACCGTCATTAACTCTAGCATCTTGAAACGACGCATTAATTTTTACACATAACGAATATGATAGTTTCAAACATTTTTCAAAGTTAACGTGCATCGGAGTAAAACCCGTTGACAGAGGTGGTGTAGTAGGTGAATTCATTTTACATGTGCCGCCTAAGCAAAACTGAACGCTTGAATATGTCAGATTTACGGATAACTTCTGCTGCGCTTTCCAAATTTGCTTCATTCATAGGGCATGATAGGGTCTAACCATTGACATAATTTATGCCGCAAATGCATGAAGCCAGCAAGTTTATTTCTTTGTAACCACACTTAAACCAGTATCCTTCATTAATTTTTTCTCTGCGTCTCCTTGTGCTTTTCCCTTCCTATAATTTTACAAAATGGTTTAAAACTATCCTTGCTATGATGTTATTATGATAAATCTACCTCTCAAAATGGAAAGAATGTCAAAAATCCAAAAATCCACAAAAAATTCCCTTTCTTTAGGGTAGAAATTGATGCCGAAAAAATGGAAATGTTTTGGAATCTGAAAGTGTTTTCTAGTTGGGATGCGAATGCGAGCCAGCACGGCGCACGGACGAATCAGACGAACGTGTGCACGCATGTTTATACCATCCCCTATCCGTTCAAAATCTATGGGCTATCCTGTCCAATTAGCACTTCGTCCGGTCGCTGGCTCATCATCAAGCAGAGGGAAACGGCCTTCTGGCACGGCAGTCTCCACAGCTCTTGATGAATTGTTTCAAGTAGACGGAAAATCTTCCTTTTTCCTCTATTTTTCTTGACGGATATCTCGCCGCAGCGATGCGAAAAATATAACGGACTACACAGCGATCTGCACCCCCAGGAAGAAGCCACTCTATTAACCAAAATGGCCACAAAACCGACTTTCAGTCATAAAGTGGGTTTGCGCACGGAGTGCGGATGTCACGAGCTTCAACTTCACCTTCTCCTCTGGTCATCTCAAGCCTCCATCTACGTCAGAAGATCATCAGCATCTTCAACTGCTACTTCTATATCAGCAGCTGATGAATGAAAAATGGGCTTTCCACTATGGCGTGAATAGTTCGCAACAAGAAGTTCACCGACAAGTTTGTTGCGAGAAACCCCAATGAGTCGACATGTCATTAGAAGGAGAATAAGGATATTGTTATTGGAAATTTGGAGTGGGTTAAGGAACGAAAATGGCAACCGTTTCGTTAAGCTTCTCTCCTCCGCATGATTTTCCCATAAAAAATGGAGGTTACTTGATGTAGCAGTTCCACCCGTCTCCGGTGGCTCCGTCACCGCTTCCTTCGAGCGAAGAGTACGACAGTCGAAAGGAGAGAAGGTCTGCCACAGTGCCGCAAGATCCGGGTGCAAGTCATCTCCAGCGATTGATAGCCAACGACAGTTGTAGAACAGCTTTGCAGTAGGATCCCAGGAAGTACAGGCAAGCCAAGATAGAGGAAGCAGCAGAAGGAAGACGAAGTCTTAAAAGTGCCGAGGGACATCTGTGATTATCACGTACCGCTGGCTGCACTATTGAACGAAGAAAGAAATTCGACTTCTTCTCGATATAAGATGGAATCTATCGCGAAAAGCTTTTACACCAATCTCTTGCGCTCATCAACATCCGTGCCGATGTCCGTTGATGTCACTGGAGAAGTACCATCTGCTAAAGTGCGCAACGCAATTCAGACCACGAGGATGTCCAAGCGCAGATCACTTCCCGTCGAAATTCTGCGAGCAGGAGGACATGTATACACGAGAATTTTACGTCGCATTCTAACATCTTACATTCGGAAGGAAAGGAGTCCCGACCAGCGGAGAACTTCCAGAACCGTCCTTCTCTTCAAGAAGAGCGAAAGAGACTTTCGAAGTTATCGTCCAATATGCCCGCTGAGTTGTTATAGTTTTTCACGAATATTCTAGGACACTGGATAAAGCCCAGTCCCAACAACTCTGGATTTCGCAAAATTCGGCTGCATGGATCAAACATTTCGAAGGTCATAGAAGAATGATAGGAGCACTGCCTGCCTCTGGTTCTAGCCTTTATCAACTACGAAAAGCCATTGACAGCGCCGAAACCGATGCCATCCTTCAGCGCTAGTCGATCAAGGTATGGAACCGACTTGGGAAAGCTTGAGATCAGGCACTGCTACAAAGTCTGTACAACGACGATGCAGTTATACTATCACCTCTGACCATCCCATTTGGGAAAGGAGTCCGACAGGGAGGCAAAATCTAGCCAAAGCTGGCCACCGCGTCCTTACAGTGGGTGAAATTGGGAATCGAGAGTCCTATGAGTTGAAAAGAAATTCGAACCCCTTGCTTTGTTTCAATATCGTTCCTCTTTCAAGCAGTATACTGACGCAGAGACGATGAAAAGAATTAAACGAAGTAGGGCAGAAGACGCAAGTAAATAGAATCAGTTCATGAAGAACGCCTTTGCGAAGGTGCGGAACGGGAAATGGAAGGCACACTCATCATGGAGACATCTTTTTACATATATCTAGAAAATTTTATGAACGAAGATCTGAGGGAAAGATTTAGCAAACGAAAAAGAGGAGAATGGGCCGCCTTCGCCTTTGAAGGAAGCCACCGATCAGCTAACAAATTCGAAGCTTCTCAGACAATCGGTGCCGTAGTCGCGCCGGACAGTCGAAATCTGGCAGAGCCGCGGCGGACCCAGTTGACCAATGAGAGCGGGGCGAGGGGGCGGTCCCTTCTTGTAGGTCACGGTGACGTCACCGGCAGGTGAGTGGGACCCTTCTCCGGATCTGCTCCAAAAGTACGCCATTTCTGCTCCGGAGGTACGCCAGATTTGGGGCACCTACGGAGCAGAAAATGGGAGGTCTCCGGAGCACAAATGGGGGGTCTCCGGAGCACAAAATGGGAGGCCTCCGGAGCACAAAATGGGAGGGGTCGGGCGCACATATATGTACGCAGTCAATTTGCTGTGATACGCAGTTTAGCATTTTCGAAAATAAGTTGCCGTCACTCTCGTCTTACTCTTTTTTGTCGTTCTTTCGCGCTCGTTTTTCTTTTTTTTTCTTTTTTTGGTTTTTCGTGTTCCTCGTCGGCGCGTTGGCGTTTATTTGTTCATCTCCTTCTTTTCAGGTTTCAGGTTTTAGGTTTTCGTGCGGATGCACTTAGTCACTTTTAGTGTTTGGCTCTTTTCGACTTGCTGAGACATCGTTGACTATTGATGGAGTGGTTTTTGTGATTTATTCTGGTTTGAAACAAAAAGTATATAATCCGAGATTCGGCCTCGGTACCCTTATGTGGTGTCTCTTGAATTATTTCCGTGTTTCCGGGATTGATTGATGCTGAATTATCCGTACACTGCTTGGCTCTGTCTCAGGGAATATCTTATACGGTTAGTCTGTCGCATTCTTGCTAAATGCAGATCTGCTATGCAAGTTCATGCAACTCTTTCACATTTTTCAGTATATCGTCTACTCGTCTCGTCTACCTGTTAGAAATTGTGACAGGCGCTCAAGAAATTCACATTTTTTTCGAGATTCCAAGTTCTCAGACTTTGCACAAAGTCATAATATGCAGGGAAAGTCTGTGTCCTTGTTTCTGATGATAGAAAAGCCTTCAAATTTGCACTCCAGCGTGAGTGTCACTATAGGAGAAAAGGTCCACAGAAATGTCCACGTACTCGCACCGCAAACCAAACTTTACGTAGCTGCAGGTGAAAGGAGAGATATCACAGTGAAGGTGAGTGGTACATTCTACGAAGTGCTCATTTTTGAGCTTGGATTTGTAAGGTCCAAAACCTCGATCCGATCTTCATGACGGATTTTCGATGTCACTTCAAAGTAGGAAACGTTAAACGCGAAAAACCTGCTGTCGGGGGACATTCGACGACAATGTGATATAAGGAAAATTGCAATTGTTTTGATTTTGCATCCAATTCTGTTTGTGCTTGTGATGAGATGCAGTTCGATCACTACGGGCTTGGTTATCGGGAGGAACAGCTCCGGTCGAGTTCAACGTTGTGTGGTCCTCGAGCGATTCTTCCAGAAAACACATTCTGGATAGCATTGGTGGAGTGGCCGTGGAGGTTAGTCGGAATTTTTTTAGTGATAGATGTCGTAATTTGTGGTTTTTCCAGGTTTATAAGTGCGAAGCTCTTGCATCGAACTGTGGCCGATGTCTTACGCTGAATGCTGAAAAGTATGAATGTGGCTGGTGTGTTATAGACAACACATGTGTCAGACCAATGGCATGCTTGGCAAGATGCCTGGCAAGGTATGTTTAGTTACTGGTTCACTAGTCCCATTACACATGGTCACCCCACCTGATAGTACTTTCTCGCTAGTAAAAGCGACAATTCCACAGGTGAACGCAGCAGCAGTAGACCTAACCTTCGTTTTTCCACCGACGGGTCCATTTTTAGGACTGAAGTCTTCATTAGCTGGATTTGCACACAGCTGTGTGCTATTCACCCAATCTTGTGGTGATCTTGCCAAGCATGCCATTGGTCTAGCACATCTGTTGTCTATAACACACCAGCCACATTCATACTTTTCAGCATTCAGCGTAAGACATCGGCCACAGTTCGATGCAAGAGCTTTTGCACTTATAAACCTGGAGAAACCACAAATTACGACAACTATCACTAAAAAAATTCCGATTAACCTCCACGGCCACTCCACCAATGTCATCCAGAATGTGTTTTCTGGAAGAATCGCTCGAGGACCACACAACGTTGAACTCGACCGGAGCTGTTTCTCCCGATAACCAAGCCCGTAGTGATCGAACTGCATCTCATCACATCTGGCACAAACAGAATTGGATGCAAATCAAAACAACTGCAATTTTCAGTACAGTTATTTTCAGTTTTGCAGTCAATCTAAAATAAATGTTTCGTTTTGTCTTCATTCTTCTATTTTCTATCTACAAACGCTAGGAGTGAGAGGGAGGGGGTAAGTACGGGGGTGAGGGTCGCGCTGAAGTCCTACCCGGGGGGGGGGGGGGTCGTATTCGCTAATTTGGGTGGGGTTTAGAGACAAAATTGGGGTTTGGAGCTCAATTAGGGCTAGTTACAGTATGCCGCGGCAGACTTGCGGAGCAGAAAATCGGAGGGGTCCGGCGCACAAATGCGAGGTCCCCGGAGCACAAATGGGAAGGCTCCGGAGCACGAGTGGCAATCCCCCGCTGGGGAAACCCCGCGGCTCGGCCATTTCTGCTCCGGAGGTATGCCGTCGACTGTCTGAGTTCGAGCACATCAGCTAGACTTGACAGCTTTCGTAGCGCTTTGTTACGCAGCTGAGACTTGAGCCGACACCCAAGCCACGTAGAAAGCTGTACGGATTACCCACAGAGCTCTCGAGCGCGGTATTCTGAAAGTTACATGACAGGTCGTCGGACTTCGTGGTACACATACGAAAGGCCCCGTCTTCGGAATCGATTCCTTGCCAAACATCCCTTTTGGAAGAACCACCGACGAGATGGGCAGACGTTTGCGGAGAAGATGGGCCAACTGAGAATTAGCTGAATCCGACCTCTGCACCTAGAACTCGCAGCCGGAGCATCTACGAATAACCATCAAAAAGTCGCGGATGTTAAGAGGAGAATATGACCAAAAAGATAATTCTGTGCTGGAGCTATACGACACGTGAATACAGATGTGGATATCGTAAGACTGATTGCTCTTTAGAACACGGTCTTCCGAAACATCACTACTGCTTAGTCTCCAATCCAACAATTATGACATTGCGGTCCTGTGCTGTCCTGTTGAAAAGTGTTTATAGCAAGAGTCTAATATGTGAATCAAGAGCAGAAAATGACGGAACACTGTACTGCTTTGCTGTAGCCATTTTCTCCACTTCAATTCCTGTAATATGAGCGACAGATATGCTTTCACTCACATCATCTCCTGCCTCCTCCATTCCACACTGGTGAGCGTGATGCATCAGCAACCAGACTGAAGACTACAAGTACTAAGAAATGAGAAAAGCTACCGCACTGTTCTTTTATATCATGTTATATCAACCGACTTTATTTCCTTGATACCCGTTCTAAAGCTACAGAGAAGTACACAGCCATTCACACATCATGAGATAAACCCTTACCAAATAACATAAATAGCGCGTGGATAAATACAGAAGGATAAATACAGCGTTTCTTATGCCTAGTCAAACGTCGGTCTAGCAATCAGTGACTTCTTCAGCTTCACCAGACGAAGACTGTGTATTTGCGGATTCCATATGACCGTTCGTTCTTTCAAGTTTGCGATGTCCTGGTGATGAGAACGAAGCTGTCGAGGGCAGGGACACTGGATCCAACGACAGCTGGAAGGAACATTGCGCGAAAAAAGGTTTAGCAGAGGAATCAACATTAGCACCTCGCTGCGCTCGCTTTCTCCAGTATCATTTTCAGGCTGCACGCCGCTCAAGTCCAGCCGCTCTATTCCATGTATGACACGATCCCGCTCTGCACTTCCACTATGATCGATTTCTGGGTACTCCAACTGAAATATAATTAAATTACACTTTACAAATTCACCGCGGGAACAACATACTTCTTTCGCCGACTCGGTCATGTAAGTCATTGCGTCAGTGTCCAACCAAGACAGTCCTGCACCAACTCCTTGAGTGCCGCTATTCTTTCCTGCTTTTTCCCATTGCACCCCATTTCCAGACGTACCTCCTAGCAGCATCATACGATCACGAACTTGTTCGTGAAGTGAGGGATCCCAGGGAGTTAGCCTAGAAAAGAATTTTTCTATGCCCTTCTATCGAACGAAAAACCAAAACAACTATAGAAGAAGCCTAGAAAAGAATTTTTATCTTCTATCGGACGAAAAAAAAACAAAAACAACCATAGAAGACAAGAATGAAGTATGTACGATATGGTCCATACAGTCTGTTTTCGAGTTTTCTTAAAATTTGTGTGATTCAAGTAAAATTGCATCTATTACTGAGCAGCATTCAGAATTTTTAGCTATTTCTAGATTCGATTTCTAGATACCCAAACTTCTAGCGGCAATTTTAAGGATGAATACAGATCATCTATCATAATCTTTGTGCGGCATTCTAAAAGAGAAGAGATAATTAGCTTGAACACAGATTTTCAAACTCAAAGCGCTCCTTTTGAAGAATTTTGCTTGGATTGTCTAGAACTGAAAGTTTTCAGGTACTGGCGGGAAACACGGGAAAGTGTTTGTACTTTCAATATTTGTAGTAGTTAACTACATGTATGAGAAAATCAGGACCGCTTGAGATGGAGCGGCATGAGAAAATACAGTTATTCCCAGGAGTTTTGTGTCATGTAGCGACTGGGGAACTCTGGATTTCTTGAAATAAAGTTCCAATTCTCAACGGATTAGATGGTTTCTGGTGTCTTCAGGCCCTATGTTGTTCAAGCTAAGTAATTGAGGACGTTGGCTGAACTAACTTTGCTCCAATAAAAGATGGCTAGCATTCAAGTGTTCACCTGCTGCGATAACCTACAACATTGTTTTCATGACAGAATTTTTAGGACTAGATTTTTGGTGTTTTTGTATTTCAAACAAAACAATACGATAGGTACGTGGAATGAGCAGAGCGCATAGAACGAAGCAGATCTGCGGCTGAACGCCAGGCAAAGTAATCCTTCAAATGGCATGAGCGGATGATTTCTGCATGACCAGTCACGCAATGGCGAAAATGCTAGTCACGAAATAATCGCTTGAATAATTGCTAGTCTTCAGTTAGTTTTCCGACAAGCTATGCCTAACAACAATCAAACAATTTGAAGAGATAAGCTGCTATGGAAATGCGAAGTCACCTAGGCAACTTAACAAAAAAGATACCAGGACATGCTTATTTTGGTGGATGTGGAAATTTCCTGCTACCGGTAATCCCGCTTTCACATGGCGTAGGGTCTAAATGCGTTTGAAAAAAAAAACCGTCAACAGAGATATTGTTCAACTGTTTTAAGCCGTAACAGGTTTTTGAAGGAACACTTTATTTACTGCCCGACATGTTCCTTTAAAAACCTATTACGGCTTAAAACAGTTGAACAATATCTACAAAGCATGCCAAGGTTTTACAAAAAGGAGACATACAGTCTACGTCAACATGAGTTTTGCGTTTGTAACATCAGAATTCAGATACACAAGAAAAGACTGAGCTTCCCAAGATTTACTTATACGCAGCAATTCTATGATTGTCTGGCTCTACGGTAGCAGGTTTACAAGGTGAAAAAGCGAGCAATCAAACTTGTGCCAAAGAAAAAAGTGAATGTACCTTCAGACTAGTCCCCTACTCTTTCTTTTATTCTCAAAACTCAACCGGCTTGTTGAGTGCGACAAATCCAACACGCATAACGTTGTAAGTGCGAGATCAATGCTAGAGCTCACGCCTGTTCTAACACTTCTCACAATGACAAGTGATTTCTACAGACATGATGAAAAATGGACACGAAACATGATTAAATCTGCTGGACCATCATGTCTTAAGAATATGAACGAGAAGCACCCTCCGACTACCACCGGTTCAATATATTTCAAAATTTGGAAGTTTTAGAAAAGAGCATTCAGCCTTCTCTGCAAAGGGCTTTCCTAAACTGGAAATGACTGCATTTTTTTACATCTTTTCACAACAAGAAACTTCTCAATCAAAAAGAACATTAGGGAAAACAGTGCGTTAGGATAGCATACAGTTCGGCACTAGCTGAGCGTCTTAATTGTAAGATCCGAGTGACATTAAGCAAATTTAGCCCCAAATCTCGGATTTCCATGCAGATGCAAGTCTCGGCTTCATAGTTTGTTCAATGAAATGAATGATTTGCAAAAAAGCTGAAAATCAGAACGGGTCTGAAAAAACAAGTGCGATGTATCTCCTGATATCTGATCGAGCGTTATCATCAGGGTCAAGCGTGGGGTGCGGCACGCCACACCTGGGGGGTCGTATTGAGGAGTCAAAAGGGGAGGGGGTCGTAGTTGGGTAATCTGATAATAGTGATAACATGATATTCGTATCCCATCCATAATTAGCATGTCAAATAATTCCCGTAGACAAAGTGTGAGCGAATTCTGAAGATTCAAGATACTAGGCTACCTAAGTGAAATGGTCAAATTCCAACATGGTTAACTTTGTTTCAAAGGTGAATTAGCTATCCGTTTTTGCACTCAAGACAAAGCACTACTCCTTCTTTGTCCACCTCAGGAATCCCGCTTCAGAAGACCTCCAAACTGTGGAATTAGAAGCCAACCAAAATCTCGTTTTCCCCATTTTTCGCTTTTGATCGCTGTGCTTTCACCAAATATTACTCAGAGCTAAGAAGACGAATCAGGCTCAAATCACTCCTGTGGAATCTACAAGGTCTAGGCTATCGATTCATATATATAGCGTTCGCTAAAAATGTTTTTTTCATATAGTTAATGGGGTGCGGCACACCCCCTTAGAAGCTGCGGCGGCCGCAGCTTTTAAAGGGGTGTACCGCACCCCATCAACTATATCAAAAAAAAAACAATTTTAGCGGACAGTATCTATATGAATAGATAGCCTAGACCTCGTAGATTTCACAGGAGTGATTTGAGCCTGATTCGTCTTCTTAGCTCTGAGTAATATTTGGTGAAAGCACAGCGATCAAAAGCGAAAAATGGGGAAAACGAGATTTTGGTTGGCTTCTAATTCCACAGTTTGGAGGTCTTCTGAAGCGGGATTCCTGAGGTGGACAAAGAAGGAGTAGTGCTTTGTCTTGAGTGCAAAAACGGATAGCTAATTCACCTTTGAAACAAAGTTAACCATGTTGGAATTTGACCATTTCACTTAGGTAGCCTAGTATCTTGAATCTTCAGAATTCGCTCACACTTTGTCTACAGGGGTTATTTGACATGCTAATTATGGATATGTTGCCCATTACAGGGCCTTCAAGTAATGCTATCTCAAGTGTATAGTTCAGGGGGGGGGGTCTTATTAAAGGCAGTGTCCGGGCAAAATGGGGGTTCTGAGATTTCTCTGCCACGTGAAAGTAGCCCCCCTGAGACACAACATCGCGCAACTGCGAGCATAAAACGTTCGACCTAAAGCAAGAAAAACGATTGCAAATTGGGGAAACTTACGCCTTGGGGCGGGGTCCTCCGAGCTGTTTGAATTCCTGCCAGACGGCAGAGTACGTATGCCGCCACAGTTAAAAACCGTGCGCTCTTTGCAACCTCTGCGTCTTAGCTTGGCGGGGATCCCCAAATTTCGAAATGTGAGGACTTGGAAAATGCATGTTCTCGCCGTTTTCGCGCCTTCTGATGTGGATTTTCGGATTCAGCGTTGCGGATAACCCCAGATAAGTTGATTTTTTAGAAGTCGAGTTTCTGCCCGGACACTGCCTTTAAGACAGCAATCAGGGGGGGGGGGGTCGTGACCAGCGATCGTGTGTCACACCCCTTGCTTGACCCTGGTTATCATATTGTTATAGACAAGCGCCCATTGCCCAATCGGACGCCTGCATATAGAGGTAAACCAGCTTCTGATGAAAATCGGGAGATTGACAAATAGCGCTCCATATCCTTGAGTTCATCCAGAGCATAAGAAATGAGCTTGGATGGAATTGTTTGCGCAAGAATTTTACTATGAATTAGAACAGGCTAGAAGCCATCCTCTTTGATGTTTTTTTTGTCCTGACTACCTAAACCCTGACATCGGCACGGGCGAAGTGCGAAGGCGTGACTTGAAATCGGGACCGGCAAGATTGCTCCGGAAGCTGGGAGCCTGAATCCATAGTGTGCGGAAGACCCCGCCCTCTTGACGATTTCCATCACCATAGTGTGGGGAAGATCCCGCCCACTTGACGACTTCCATCATCCTCAGAGTCCTTTTTCGCCGACTTGCGCTCTCTAGCGTGGATTTTCGGATTCAGCAAAGTGAATAGGCGCGGGTAAGCACAGAATCTCAAAATATCGACTTTTTGCCCAAAAACTGCTTTTAAAAATAAAGCCAATTTATTTCAAAAAATCATATTTTTGAGACCATAAGTAGATTGATCGGTTACTGATGGCAGAAGTTTCTTTGAGGAAGCGAAACTATTAGCATAAAAAATTACATCCGACAGTTCGACCGACAGTGAAAGAACCTACCGCAAGACATTTGGGTCATTTGCGTCTTCTGGCTCATCATATACCTCCATTCGACTCTGGTTCACGCAGTTCTTGGCCACGGACCTACAAAAACAAGCAAAACTTGAAAATCAGACTGCTAGATCTGACTGAACTGTCATAGCAAATGAGCAGCGTTTACGTAAAATTGAAGTCGCTACTTTCAAGAACCATCGCGATATAGCATGCCTACAGTTCCAAGCATTTTACGCACTGAAGGGCTGTTAAGATACACATCAGACCGCGCCTTCGATGTACTGGTACAAATGCACATGGTTAAATTGGACTCTTCGTCTGTATCATTCGCTAGAAACTTTGCTACAATAACAAGTCAAAATAATGGTAGAGGTCAAGCAGAATTGCCACTCGACGAAGATCTACTGACTCTCTGTCGGTAAACGACATTTGTTGCTAGTTCAAACTACGATCAAGCAGATAACAAGCGCGAGAAGCAATAACGAAAAAAAATTTCGAGTTGGGAAATTGAAAAACACTTTAAAATCCAAGCAACCTGAATTTCTCCTTGTCCTCTCTCCACAATGTCGCCGCTGCAGGATTTGCACTTGTTTCTGGATCAAAATCAAAGGAGAAAAATAGTCTCTGTAACACTCATATACTATGGATTATTGAAAGCTTCGCACGATACCTGAACGACAAGCAAAACATTTTGAATGTGATGCTTGTCTTTCTTCCAGCCATCAGGGAAGTATCGGGTGAGATCCGGTCGACGACTCGTCGGGTCGATATTTGGATGAAAGATGAATAAATCGAATTTCACCACCTCAAAACAAAAAGGTGAGTTTCTGACGAAGAACGGTTGATTAATAGAAAACTTTCTGCCTATCTGAATAGGAGAAATTTGCGTTCCTGCACAGCTGCAGCAATATAAAAGGAGATGAAAGTGATTGGGACAGAATGCTTAGAAAGTGAAAAAAAGAGTACAAAACTACGATAGGTTAACCACCAAAAAATGTATAAGAAGGTGACTGACCGGAAGAGCTATGGTATTGGGAAAATCTTTTGGTATCCGCACATTGAAACGGAAAATACCGCCTCCATAAATGCCCCGCCGAATGAAGAGTAGACCAAACCATGCTGGAACACAAAGTCCAACATGGAGTATGACCCAAGAAAAACTGAACTCACTGAACTGATCACAGGCGCTGGGAATTACGTACATACCATCGATAGGCTGGCGACATACACGCGCGCTAGAACCCAGATTTTTGCCCAGTATTATATAATCGAAAGAATAAACTAACAATTCACTCGATAGCGCATGCCTGGACAACTGTGATGGAAGAAGTTTCAGCGGTTCGGGCGCTCGAGCTTCAACTGCGAATTCATAGGTATGATTCACATCTTCAGCTGCTAGCGACTGCGCCAGCCTCATCTTCCGCTACTATAAAAGACAATACAGTGACCAATATAGTAACGACCACATGCACTTGCAATCGAAATTTGAAACAAAACAAGTGCGAAAGAAGTTCCGCTCGTGCAGAACAGAATGTACGCTCCAACGATGATCAAAAGGAGCACAACTGCAGAAGCCGTCGACAAGATTTGGATCTTTTCATCTTGAAAGTGTTGAATTCTATATACCTCTGCTTAGCTTCAATCTTCTTTGATTAATGTATAGATACTTTGTCTTATGCAAATCCTGTTCTTATTCCTCTCAGCGCTTTTGAGTGCTAGCCTTCTTCTACACTCAATACTAGAAATACATGCCGATACTTGCAGATTTGCTGCAAAAAATTCAGTTTCGGATAGGCACAGCATTTTGGTAGGAGATGACTCCCTTAATATGTGATTGAAAAAGGCTAATTACAAATGTTTTTATTGATGATTCTAGTTAGACTTCGCATGGTACCTTTTTATGAAAAAAAACTTTTGGGACAGTTCGTATACAAAATATTAGCTGAGGAATCAACCTGCATAACATGCAACATAATGTAGCAGTAACCATTTATCTACATCTTGCTAGCCAATAAACTATTCCCTGGTTTTGATCATGTACGAGTAAGGAGGTAGAGGCTTGCCATAGGTGAGCACGACTAAGTTGTAGATGCCGAGAATGAAGCAAGCAAGACCTGAAATTTGCTTGTGTGTTGTCAGTGCAGTTTGCACTTTCCTCTGCAAATTACATATGTACCTAATGCTTTGACGACTCTAGTCAAAGCCCTGTCGAATGGAGCGGCCTCCTCAGATTTTTTGCCATCTAGGAGAGCTTTCTGTAATGCATTCAAATGTATTGGATTTATGGGAAGATACAAGAAAACATACGGCATAAGCGTCGACTCGCTTCCGAAGCTTGGGGTCATACAGACCATATTTGCCCATGACTAGTTTTCCAACCCTTGTCCCTTCAGGTAGACGAGGGAGAATTTTTCCGGCTGCCTAAAGTCCGACACTTGTCTTTCACCAGCTATACTATTTTTGTAACAACTTGCTGCATATAGTTACTGCAAAAGCTTGCCTTATATGGCATGAGCACCGAACCATCAGACTAGAACTTAATGCAATAATCAAATGAAGAGGATGGTCAGTGACTGATATGACCTTTAGTGAAAAGGTAGCATCTCAAAAACAATCCAGCCTGTACTATTATTCTGCCTCCTTTTTTTTCATCCCTAAGAATAGAAGGGTTTACTATAGCCATATATAAAACAAATAAAGAATTAGCAAGAGTGACGGACATCGATCCGAAAGAGTTAGAGTAAAACCACCAATCTCACGTACAAAACTACAAGCAATGATCAGAAGCAAATAAGAAAAGAAGAATAATGATGACAAGAAAAGCAAAGGTAGCATCTCAAAAACAATCCAGCCTGTACTATGATTCTGTCTCATTTTTTTCATCCCTAATAGGAGGGTACTATAGACTGTATTATAGATCCCAACTGGTCATCGACTTGGAACAGTAGTCAAACCAGGCGTAGAGGGATTGCGCAGCTGCTGTGACTGCACAAACTTCGCTAAAAATGTCTCGCTGAGTTTGTCCTTCAGAAAGGATGGATATCACTGTATTATAGATCCCAACTGGTCATCGACTTGGAACAGTAGTCAAACCAGGCGTAGAGGGATTGCGCAGCTGCTGTGACTGCACAAACTTCGCTAAAAATGTCTCGCTGAGTTTGTCCTTCAGAAAGTTAGGTGCCAGAGTAAGCGAATATTTTGTTCAGGTTGGGGTCCCGCGCAGAATTGACGTCACTTGGATTGACGCCAGCATGGTGAGGGGCGTCAATTCTGCGCGGGACCCCAACCTGAACAAAATATTCGCTTACTCTGGCACCTACCAAAGGATGGATATCAAGTGGTGCGCACTTGCATATGCTGAAACTGAGATTTCAAAAATTACGACACAATTACGAATAAACTTTAAACATCAGAATTTCGCGGTTTGAACTGGAGAAGCCTGTTCTCAAACTTACATCAGTGGGGTAAAATTAGAGACTTGCCTGTACTTGAACACGGTGCATGTACTCGATTACATGTTTTCCCTCTTCCGCGTTGCAAGGTTATGACCTCATAAAGGTTTCCTTCGAGCAGAATGCCGCAGGCGCATTAAGGTTCTAACCTACATCTTATGTAGTCATGACTAGTTGACTATCACTGTTTCGGAGACGCCTCATGATCATCCATATTTATTATCAAGAATGACTTGACTACAAGCTATATACCTGTTGGCGCGACCTTGTCAGTCACATATCTATAAATGATTAGTGATGTCGCATAAAATGTCTATGTGTACTGGCATGAACTCGTTATCTAACCATTCACTTTGAACATTTTGCTGAACTTGAACTTTTTGAAAAGTTGTTTGAAAAAAGTGCTTTTTGTTTTTTGTTTTGCGAACAATCATAGCCATGCAGAAGAACAACCTCGAAAACATAGAAATCCCAATTTTGATAGTGATTGGTTCATTATGATTACTGAACTTCAACTTTGAGTACTTTTTTGAATTCTCAGTTCCAGCATATGCAAGTGCGCACCATTTGATATCCATCCTTTCTGAAGGACAAACTCAGCGAGACATTTTTAGCGAAGTTTGTGCAGTCACAGCAGCTGCGCAATCCCTCTACGCCTGTTTTTGACTACTGTTCCAAGTCGATGACCAGTTGGGATCTATAATACAGTGTACTATAGTCATATATAAAACGAATAAAAAATTACCAAGAGTTTCGTATGATTGATACAAGTACAACAAAAGCAAACAATGAATAAGGAAATGTGAAAAATGGTTTAGTCGCTAAATTAGTACAGTGAAGAAAAAAACAATGTTAAAGACACAAAACGGCAAATGGTAAAACTTACTCCAAGCTGCCATTCTCCAGGGTTTAATGGATCGAACTCTTCAAGTGTGGGAGGAGTCTGAAAACCATGCTATGGAAAATGTTTTGGTTTTGAAATCAACATTACAGCCTAATCATGAAATCAGAAGTCTTTCACGAATGCTTGTCACCGTAAGGGACTCGTCATACTTCGCCGAAAAAGCCCAAAAGCGCCAGAAAAAGCCGACGCCCCGAGACCTTCGGTAGTCTGGCATTATTTTGATGTGCAGCAGGAAATGAAGCAAAATGACTCGGTTGCGAAAACACACATACCTTAGCGCCAAAACTTGCGCACGAAAAAGGCGTTCCGGCTCTTGCTGGCGCTTTTGGACTTTTTTGGTTTTTTCAAGCTTTTTGGGCACTTTTGGCTTTTTTCGGCAAAGTATGAGGGTCCCTAGGATTTTAGTCATGGAATGTGTATCTCAAAGCGTATGTTCATCGGCTGGTTAGGGCAATTTGGAAAGAAAAACTTTTATTTGCCAGAATGGGTCAAAAGAGCAGGTGATCTACATGAGTAAAAAACATCAAAATGATTCATTTTCAGTTGCCTATAATCAAGATATTTACACTTATGGCAAGCTTGCGAACTGAGAAGAGAGAAAATTTTTGTAAGGTTGCATTTGCATGGCATGTCACCCATATGAGAACTGCGCAAGAAAAATTCTTGCCATAGCGTACTGAATATGCTGAAAAAGCCCGCAGGCGAAGTTCGAGTAGATTTGGGTTTGACCCATCACCGTATAGCTACCGGCCCAGCAGCGCTCCATACAGAGAAGGGTACGTAACCACTGTGCCAAATATTTAGCTCCTCTGGCCAAAAATAAGAAAAAAAAATTTTAATCACAAAAGAATTTCGAATTTGTGGTCAGCCGATGTGAAACCGCTCCTAGCCTATGCTCATAAATGACAGGCAATACATACTTTACCAGCGTGGGTGGGGATCTGATTGTACGTAGTGGCGAATCGAACAGAAGTCAATCGAGCAGCTCCGAGAGTTCGCAATGCGAGCATTCTGCAAATATCTGTTCAAGGCAGCGTCCAGGCAAATCTGGACCTATGGGGTTCTCACGTGGAAAGTAATGAAGCCCTAAATAAGAGTCTGCCCAAGTGGCAACTCAGATAGTGCAATCACGGCTAAGACATTGGGCTCCAAACTATGCCCCGTGACTGTATTCGCATGGATTCATAGCTCGGCACATCAATTTCGCGTGTCGTGCGAAAGCGCCACGAATCCATGCGAGTACGGTCACGAAGCATAGTTTGGAGCCCAATATCTTGGTCGTGAGTGCACTATCTGAGCTGCCGCCTGAGTCTTATTTACGGCCTCAAGATTACTTTCCACATGAGAGCCCCATGAGTCCAGATTTGCCTGGACGCTGTCTTTAAAGAGAATGAACATGAAGATTGCAGAACGTCGTGCACACAACAGCGAATGCAACCACATAGTTGACACATGGTCAGAATCAGGGATGGGTCGAGTGAGGCCTGAGGCCCCGGCCAGACTTCGCTCAAAAGTGCTCGAAAGCGCCCAAATTCCTCTATCCCATTTCTCCTCACACGAGAAATTGAAGAGACATTAGAGAAATTTCGGCGCTTTTGAGCGCTTTGGACGCTTTTCGACGCTTTGAGTGAAGTCTGGAAGAGGCCTGAGAGTACAGTAAATTATACGGAAACAATTCGTAAAAATCGAATCAGAAACGACCACTGTTTCAGCATCAAACCATAAGTTCAAATCATGGAATCAATGGCTTCAAAAAATCTACAAAGAATCAAACAGTCGAAAGAAAAATGCATAACAGTAATACATAAAAGCGAAAATATAAGACCAAGTGACAGTCGCTTAATTTGCCTGGAGTAGTTTAAATCTTGTTTGTGCACTCGAACTGACAAGATTCTTCCCCCAAACATGCATGTGGTGGCCAGGTACGAAACACCATTCATACAAAGTTCGTGATCTTCGTAACATTAGCATGCAAGTGAAGATTCCCGGCAATCGATAGTTCATCGCTCAATTTCTTCATATTGCGTGCAAAGCTAACGACAAACAGGAGTGGATTTTTTGCAGAAACAACATACTCAGACAAATCTGCGCGCAGGCGGCGCGCACTGAATCAGCGAGCGATGTGCCTTCCCGCCGCCTGTGTGTGCAGTGCGCGCCGCCTATGGATTGAAGGTCCGCCGCCTGCGCGCTACGAGAAAAATTTTGGCAGGAATCTGCTTGGATTTTTGTTGCCGATCTGAGTATCTTATGCTTGTTGGACAATGTGGTTTCACAACTATTTTATTAACGAATAATGTATACAATTTTCAAATTTGACAGGGTAACACAAATTGCAAGAAAAATACAGTATTTACAGAATAATGCTGTCTTTGACAGCTGGCATTCGATACTATTAGCTTAGGTAGTACATACAAAATTCACAGACGTTTCAAAGTCAACATCAACAACGTATTTACATTCAAATGTGATATCAACAAGACGTGTGTATGAAGTAATGAATACAATGAAGTTGATAGTAACGAATGCCACAGTATGACGAGATAATTTGAAATAACTGCCAATAAAATCACTAAGTACTTTGATAAATAAACTGAACATGTATACATAGGAATGCATAATATATGTACAGTTCTAGAGGAATAAAATATGAAAATGTGATAGCAATGAACAAAACGCGGGCATGCTTGATCAGCCGGAATTAAATGCTCATGGATTTCATATACCGCATGAAAATTGGGATGAACGATGAGACATGAATAAATCTAAGACATGAATAATCTGGATCAGCCTCGTCCTCGTTAGTTCTCGTAATGCTTTTTGTTCTATCAAGAGTTGATTCCATCAGTCGGTCTAGGCGCTGAAATACACGCTATTAACAAACTGAAGAGAAAAAGCAATAAATTTTGACGAATGCAGAAAAAATGCATTTTTTCACCTCTCCAAAATAAATAGTCAGGGCTGAGGTCCCACGACCATAAATTGTCTTGATTCTTGGTATCTGGAGTCATTGTATATTGGTGGCTGAAACACAATAATGTTAAACAAAGTGCCTACTTTGGCTTCAAAAAGCAAGACTTACTCTTTTGACGTCGACTTTTTTTCGGCATTCGCACATAGCCATCATTGTACTAAGGCAGTTGTGACCTGAATCAAACATTGCTTTTATCTTGTGGAGGCGCAACGACGCAAGAAAGCGTTATTGATTGAAAATGAGCGTCCCTGTGTCACGGGGTCAATATGATTAAGAACCAGAGGTATGATAAAAGATATGGAAGACTGACTGAGAAACAAGAGTGGATTTGGATTAAATAAAAGAGGACGCTACAAAAAGGCAAAAAAAATCGCATACTTGATTTCAAAACAATTTAGAAACAGAAAAAGAGGTGAAACAGCAGAGTGAAAGTGAGATAATAAACAACACAATACACTGTATGAAAAAAAAACAAGGAGGAACGAGGAGAAACGATTATCTGCAAAAAATTCTGCATTTGCGCGCGAAAGCAGCGTCCTCCTTCGCTTACGTGATGCTACAGAAAGTTCATTGCGCGCCGCCTGCACGCACAATGTGTCTGCGCGCCGCCTGCGAACATGCATCGCGCGCCGCGTGTTGACTGAAATCAGTGCGCGCCGCCTGTGCGGTGCAAGGTCACGCCCACAGATCACGGCCCGCCGCCTGCCCTGCTGGCAGTGAGTGCGCGCCGCTTGCGCGCAGAATTGTCTGAGTAAAAACTCTCCATAAAAAAGTGCCACAAAAACCTACTGAAAAACAGGGAAGTGCGGAAATCGTGCCGTGACCGACCATTAACGGCGGCTTTCACTGCAGCTGTGCCATTACAGAATTTTGTTCCCATCAACTCAGATTCGAATTTTATGGAACCGGCCATACTATTCCTGTGATTCCTGCAATTCCTGCGATTCCTGTGGTTCCTGCAGGTCCCGCAACAATATATATTGCGGATAAACAATTTATTCTAGAATTCGCAAAGCGCTCCGTAGTGCTGTACATCGGAGATTGAGGAGTCACAGAACTTGCAGGAATTACAGGAATCGCAGGAATCACCTCCTGGAATAGTATGGCCGCTCCCTATGATTGATTCATTCTCAGTTCTTCTCCTAGTTGACTGTCTCGTATCGATGGCGGCGGAGCAAGTATCAGTCATGTGAAACTAGGAGACTTGAGTAGTGACCAGGGTCAAGCGTGGAGTGTGGCACGCCACACCTGGGAGTCGTATAGAGGAGACAGGACGGGAAGGGGGCGTAATCCAGTAATACTGATGGTAGTGACAACATTTTTTTCGTAAACATTTCGCCAGATACACCATTGTGCGAAATACAAGCACATGAATCTTGACTCGTCATCGTATACCTACCCTAACATGATAGAGAGGCCCCTACCAAGCGTAGTGCGTAATATATTCATAGTTACCCTAATTTCACGCGTATAAGGCGCGGGGATTCTTTTTCCAAAATCGACCAGCCCAGACACGTCAAGGGACTTTACAACCAAGAGACCCTATAACGTGCTGTATATTGCTTAAGAGAATCGTGCGGTATAAAGATCTCTTTCCGGAATACAGTGAAGCGGCTGAGCGGCTCGCTTGAAAAATCGAAAAAGTGCGCCTTATACGCGTGAAATTAGGGTAGCATGTCAAATAACCCCTTGAATAATCCCTTGGATGAAGTTTGGGCGAATTCTGAAATTTCCAGGTATTGGGCCACCTGAGTGAGAATGGTCATTCTCAAACATGAATTACTTTGTTACAACAGTTAGTTAGCTATCGTTCTTTCCCCACGATGTAGCGGGCGGAGCGGCGGCGTGTCATCATCCTCCCAAGGCTTGCCGCCTTTCTAAAATGCACGTAGGCGACCACCCAAGTAGTAGGACGCGCAGATTTGGTTAACAGGTATGAACATGTGTCAGCCATGTAACTCCGATTTTATACCTGAAAAGCTGGAGAAAATAAGAGAACTTATTGATCCCCTCCATGAAGGTGCATACTCTCTCCCAAGTCAGACGAGCGACGTACCCATTTTTCTCTGAACGCTAATTGCAAATCTATGTTTATTATCTGCGAGCTTTCATGAAGGAAATCATGAGCGTTTTCGGAAAATTGCACAACTCTACGTACCCAAAATCATCGGCGTTAACAATTTTCCTCTGCTTCGCGCTATCTAATATTATTAAGGCAGTACTAAAGCGAATTTCGGTAGACAGTTGTCTAAGAAAAACCCATATTGATAACTCAGACCCTCAGCAATAACGCAAGAGCTTCATGAGAATCGTAACTTTGTTCAACGAACCGTTTCGAGATAAGAAGAACAGATTCCGAATAAAAATTCAAAGATGCATTTCACCACCCTTCATGGATGGTTACGGACACCAAATATATTTCCCTTGTTGGTCTTACTTACGAAATTCTGATCTTGTCTTCATTTGATTGAAATCTAACTTACTCAAATGAGTAAGCTGTGATTATCTTGAAGCTTAATTATCTGGATCGATTACTACTTCAAATAAAGTCAAAAAATTCTTGAAGTTCGCTTATAAGTAGTTCTATCCAGTGAAGAGCTATCTGGAGATAGATTTCATCCAGAATAGATGTAACTCCACTTATTTGTAAATGGTCCAATTTCTTACCACTTACATTTGCATTCTATCTCTTTTGGATCCCCTTACAGTTTAGTCTAAAATGACCTTCACTTGTCTCATACCTGATTGAACAAGTTTAGACAAGTCAATTTACCCCTCGGGTCGCCTACGTGCAGATCCGAAGGGCGGCACCTCTTTGAAGTGTGAGCCTTGGGAGGATCCTGCACGCCCTCCCGGGCGGAGCTTTTCCAACGTTTGCCAACGCGTATGCGCGTGGCTACTTTTGGCAGCTAGAGTGTCAAAAAACTAATGCTTTATGGAGGTTCAAGAAGTTTCTAAACGTGTTCAGATGTCTGCAGGGCCACGTCCGCTATACGCATGGGAATCGCCTGTACCTCATTTGGCACTCATTACAAAGCACTTCTCCTTCTTTGCCACCTCAGAAATTTCGCTTCAGACCTCCAAACTGATTAGAAGCCATTTGAAATTTCGTTTTTTTTTTCCATTTTTCGCGTGTGAAGGTTGTGCTTTCACCAACTGTCACTTGGAGCAAAGAAGTCGTATCAGGTTCAAATCACCCCTGTGAGATCTGCGAGCTATAAACTATCCAGTCATAGTGTGGCACAACCCCGAAAAAGATGGGCATCCACAGCTTTTTTGGGGTGTGCCACCCATTAACTATGCCAAAAAACATCTTTAGCGAAATAATTAAATGAGTCGATAGCTTAGAGCTCATAGATTTCACAGAAATGGTCTGAGCCTGCTTCTTCTTTCTCGCTCTGAGTAACAGCCTGTGAAAGCACAGCCTTCAAAAGCGAAACAGGAAATAACGAAATTTTGGTTGGCTTTCAATTCCACAGTTTGGAGGTCTTTTGAAGCTTCTGATGTGGGCAAAGAAGGAGTAGTGCTTTGTACCAAGTGCCAATGAGATAGCTAACTACTATTTTGACAAAGTTATTCATGTTCGAAAATGACCATTTTACCCAGGTGAGCCAGTGTCTGGAAACTTCAGAATTCGCCCAAACTTCGTCCACAGCGGCTACTTGACACGCTTGTTATGAATGTATTCCACGTTATGCTTGAAAGGGCCTTTAAAGTTCAGGGAGCCTTATTATGACAGCAACGGGGGGGGGGGGGGACGATCTATGTAGTGGTCCTGTGCCACACCTCTTGCTTGGCCCTGGTGGTGACTCTGTACAATATAGTCTAACAAGCTTGAACTTGTTTTTTTTCTCTTGGTTTCAAGTAGTAAATAGTCTAGACGAGACAGATCACGACTGCGAACTGCTGAGAACACGATTTGTCTTGTTTAGACAATGTGTGCAAAACTAGGTATGGTTTGTCTCCCAGAATAGTTCCCGTAGGTACCACATCAGCTCATGCCTTTCGATCGTCTTGACAACTTAGCTTTGAAGATGCCTTGAATTTGTAAACATGTCAGGCCTCAGAGTTCACGCGATTTGGTCGCCGCGATTCAATCGCTGCGATTTCCATTCATTTTCATTTTACATTCAAAATTTCGGGGTGGAAAAGTATCACAACTGAAATGCAAGCTGGTCAGCATGCAATGAACTCGTGACAGATGTCTTGTCGCGATTGAATCGCGACGATCAAATCGCGTGGATTCTGCCCGAAACCTAAGAAAGGAAGGCAGCGAGCTGACGTGATACCTGTGATAACATTTCTGGGGGACAGAAGATATCTACACGGACGTATTCGCGTAATTACATCTTCTACTCCTAGAGTGAATGATAGATATTATCGAAGGGCAAGTTAGGGACAAGATAGTAATAGTTGTTGCTCTACATCGATGTAACCGCAGGTTATCGAAACCGGGAATGCACGGTGGTATCCGCGTAGGCGTTAGGAGGAGAGACTTTTCCGCTTAGCCGTTTTATCCACTATTTGGTGGCCTTCTGGAGATTCGGAAGCCACCAGTGGTGCACAATACTTGCAACGTTATATCGCTTATCGACTTGGACATATGGGCGACGATATTGCTTGTGATTCATTCTTTGATTAAGAGACAGTATTGCTTTGCATACTTGAGTCTAGTGCCTGCGTATTGTCTTCTTGCAAACAGGAAAGAACAAGTTTGAACTTGTTCTTTCTTGTTTCTAAGAAGCAAATAATCCCGGACTAGATAATATCACGAGTATATAAACTTGGTGACAATGCGTGCAAAGCGGTTCTATCTCCGCTAGTCGCAGAGAATGATACAATTGCTCTGCGGAGCCCTTTCTATTTAGCTAATTTTTCTATGTTACAGAAATTCAGGAGAGAAGAAACTGTGGTGACAAATCATGGATATAGAGTCTCCAGCTTCTCCAGGCATTGAGTCACCGGCAAGTCCAACATGTGCACCTGTTATACCTGTTGTAGCTGAGATCCCAGAAGAGGTTCGCGTTTTCTTAGAATTTCTCATTTTCTCTAACGATTCTAGCCGGAACACTTGGAAGAAGAGCCCATAGCAGAAGTGCAAATGGGTCCGCGAGCCAGTAGCGGAGTGGAATATCAGCGCAAGGCATATTCGAGTGCCGAATGGTGTGAGGTGAATACACTTACTTTGAAGGTTCTGTTTTGTACAACAATAGTTCCAGCGATATCGTAAAATCACTGCAATCTATGAAGCATTTGTCAAACTTTCTTCCATGGGTGATGTAACCTCAGTATATCGCAGAGCAGTATGGGTATCACTGCCAACCACGGAGTTGGTTTTGCCAGCATCGGATGCATTTATCTATATACCGGCTTCCAGATGAGTAATCTGCCTGTTGTATTCCATCTGTTTATATTTGTTTGAGTATCAATCCCAGCTTTTAGGAAGGCCGTACTCGGTTTTGTTGGCTTGCTCATTCACGAAAACACGCACCAGTGGTTCTTGAGTAAGGAGAATCCGCAGTGTGGTAGGTTGAATTTTTTCACATGGTTTTTATAGCGTATACGACTTTTTTGTTGCAGCAATGGACTACAGTTCTGTTGAAAACGCTGCTATAACTTTGATGAAAATGGTCGAGAGCACGGTATCTTCTTCCTTTCTGAAGCAGTCGGTCATAAATGTCCTTTCGGTAATCTACTCTATTCCTTGGTCTCCTTTGCTCAGGCTGGTAAAAAGGTTGGCCTATTTTCAGTGGTGTTGCACTATATCCTCGGAACTGTCTCAGCACAATGCTGGTCGCTCAACCCTCATGAATCTACCCCGTGGAGCTGAATCCATTCTCGATATGTTCAAGATGGTCGGATCTGTTGCTCAGTTGATCAAGCTCATCGATGCTACCATCAACATTCTGTCGGTGTAATGTCACTTTCTCAACTTCATTTACATCCGTAAATTTACAGCCTTGCTAAGTGCCCTGACGAATGCATGACTGTGCTTTTCGAGGCTTCGCGACATGGGACTCACTTCAACTGGATCTGGCTCCATATCGCGTAGGGCGAAAGCTTTGCGTTTTTGCAGCCTTTATTTGGTGTTTCAGAATCACATTTCCTGGGTCTATCGTTGATCATCTGTTTACCGTGGGCGCTAGTCAGTTCAAAGCGTACGTCGAGGATTTCAAGAACAAAGAAAGGAGCCAGGTCTTGTTCACTTCTGAAATTCAGCCTTTGGAATTGATGCTGTTGCCTAGACCAGACCCATGAGTATTCTCCTCTTTTTCAGGTCTCTGCTACAATCTTGGCTAGCATCCATGAGGACTACAATATGAAGCTTAGCTCTCTGTCTGATGTGTTTAACTTCCTTACTCGACGTAGTAACACTGAGCTGGAAAAAGTTGTTTCTCGCATGATCAAGGTGCCTTTCTCCGAATCAATCTTTCTCCAACTTGCAGCATGTCGTTGCAGGATAGCCTCGATGCTAATCCTAAGGATGGTGTTTTTGAGAACTTGGACTTTGTATTCTTCTTCAAGCTGGTGACCTGTTCTGTCGAAACACTAAGATGTCTCATTAGACAAAATGCTGATGCAGGTAAATTGTCAAATACTGTATATATCTACAAAGCGCATCTTTAGCCACGCCATCCAATTTTTTCCGTGGTATCCGTCAGTTGTTGTCTGTTGATCAGCGTCTCGTCCTCTCATCTATGCCTTACATGGAGTTTGCGAAGCAAATGATCCGTGCATTGGACGTCCAGTCACTCTCTGTCGTCTTTTCATGTGTTATGGAGATGGCGCTAGATCCTTTGATTTTCAGCGGTGTGCATTGTATCTTTTGGATCTTGAATTGTCCTAATGATTTGATTTCTAGAATTTGAACACCAGGATCCGGGGGTCTGCCGCGCTATCAGGGAGAAGATCATTGTAGTTGTGGTAGATCGTTTGATATCTGGCGACCAAGTGACGAAGTTTCCCTATTGATTTTAGGATGAAATCGTTAATCTCATCGTTCGAACAGTACATTCAAAACAGAATCTCTCCATCGTTGACTATCCAGCTGTTGCAGAGTTTGCATCTGGAAAACGGTTGCAATTTGTTATCGATGCTGCCATCTCAAGCCCACCATGGTTGGTCTAAACTCGGTGATACTATTCAATGTCATCTTATATATAAAGCTGAATGTCTGTCTGTCTGTCTGTACGTATGTGCGGAATAGAAATTTTTATTTCTGAACCGATCGGGACCAAACTTGGCACACATATACTTCGGGGCAGGGAGCGTGTCATAGGCTACTTTTCGTTATCGATCGATATCGATTTTATTGATTTTTTGCAAAATTCGAGCTAGAGGGCTGGGATTTGACAGAGGGGGGTAATCGAGCATGCTGATCACCCCGAAGGGGGTGATCAGCATGCTCGATTACCCCCCTGTGCAAAATCCTAGCCCCCTAGCTCAAATTTTGCAAAAAATCGGTAAAATCGACATCGATCGATAACGAAAAGTGGGCTGTGACACGCTCCCTGCCCCGAAGTATATGTGTGCAAAGTTCGGTCCCAATCGGTTCAGAAATAAAAAATTCTATTCGGAACATACGTACACGGGTCTAGCTGGCAGGCCCGGAGGAGCCGGGCAAGCCAGCTAGTGTTTCTATATAGGGCCGGGAGTGTAGTTCGCTATTTGCACGGGGTGTCCATATGCTATGGTGAGAGGAAAGCCGCTGAAATTATTGGCCGTTTTATTGTTGGATGCAATGAAGCTCAATCGGTCTGTTTCTGTTTTGCGTATTTTCAGAGCCAGTGATTGCGTCTTTCAGCTCTCTGCCCTTTGCGCTTTTCTTACAACCATAGTTCCGTATTACCCGAAAGTGATGAGTATTGCGTATGAAGATTTGACAAATGTAATGTCAACCGTAGACAACGAGAAGAAGGCTGGTGAGAGCATGTTTACGCTTACATTATAATTCAAATCATAGTCATATTTTTCATATTGATTTTTAGTGAGGAGCTCAATCCTTCGAGTCTTGAACAACATGCGGATTATTCTGGAATGGGAGCAAACCGCTGACAATTCTTTGCAGTTGAAATATTTTCGGTAAGCAACTTTAGCCGCATCTCTAATGGTCGTGGTAGATATCTCTTTGCATGTCAAAAAACTTATAGCCGCATCTCTAATGGTCGTGGTAGATATCTCTTTGCAAGTCAAAAAACTTACTTTTCATGTAAAGTACTGGTCAGCGGACGTAAATAAAGAACTAGTGCCATTTTGAACAATTTACCACAATCAGTTCCGCCCTTTCTTAATGTTTTTCTAGACTATATCCAGATGGTGCTCTCGGAGTACTCTACACCAACCTAATGTATGAGGTATTGAATGCAGCAGAGCAAAGCATTGAGGTGAGTCAAGTTATTTCCGCCATTTTCCTTCCGATCAGCATTTTATTTTTTAGGAAAATGAGGTACAAATTGCAATGGACTTGGTATTAGCTGTTTCTCGTCTTATAGAAGTAACAGTGCCGCTTATAGGGCAAGTTAGAGAAGGCTCACCTGTGAGTTGCCGTTACATAGCAGACTTTTTCAACAAGAATTCTACGAAATTTTAACTAACTCTTTTTCGTGGTGACACTCTTTCCATGCAAGCATAGTTTTCTTTTCAGAATCGCTCCGTTAAGATGCAAATTCGTTACGCTTACAAACTCATGTTGCAGTTAGCTGCATTGCAACGCTTGGCCTTGTCTATGGTTTCCCGTGGTGAGCTGCGATCTGTTTTTGAAATTAGCCTTCATCCAATTCGCTCAGTTTAGAGCATGAAATGGCGATATCCGTATTTGAGGAATATCGAACTACAGTGTTCGTTTTTGTAACCCGTCACCTGAACCCGATATTACGCGGTTACAATAACCTGTTCCTGCTGTCCTTTCTGACTTCTTGTCTTCAGGTAAGCTCGAGTTGTTGGCACAGGCTTAGCAAGGCAATACAATACACGTAAACGATAACGACAAGTCGTTATAGGATGCAAAAGGGCTTTTTGGCGATTCAGATGACCTTGTGGCTTGGAAGTACGAGAGTGAGGAAAGAGCTGGTAAGCTAGCAGAAATCGAGCAAGCACAGGTATAGGCTACATTTGATTAGACACGTGAAAATTTGCAAAATTAAGGAGGAATCGTTTTTGAAAGCACTCGAATCCATGCCACTTGACAGACGTCCAAATCAGCTGGCTCATTCTGGAACCATCGGCAAGGGTGCGAGGCACTTGCATAAGGTTGAACCACCGGCGGTACGTGTTCACTATACTTTTCGACTCTAGTTCAGCGCTAATGCTCAGTACTTCCGACGGGCTACTTTTAGGAGGATGCTCTTCATCGAGCTCATGTGTTTTTGGACGCGATGAGGACAACATGTCTTTCGCATACGAGGGAGTCCAATCTCGAAACATGCAAACTTGTGGTCGGTCAATATCATGCCTGGGCATTTGTGCATCAGTCATGCTCTACAAGGACGATTGAACGGTTTAGGCAGAAATCATGACAGAGGCGTTGTGCCACGACGCCCTTGGTGGAGACTTCCTTTTTCAAGACTGGGATATTGAGAGAGACTTTGTATCAAAGTGCGTTGGTTGCTTATGGCCTATGGACTGCAGATATTTTGGATTATGCTGGACTGGTGTCCTTTCCTATCGGTTCAGAATGATTACTAGATGAAGTACTGTATCTTCTAGATTTCTTGAGATCTCAAAACGATTGGAGTCAAGTTGGATTAGTCAGGGCTTGATGGAGATCGTGGCAGAAAATCCACCTTGTTTGTGGTTCATGCTGCCCGTGGTTAAGGCTGAACTTGCTACGATCATGGTAAGTGTCACGTTTTGGAAACTTGGGACCTTGACCTTTCCATTTTTGCACATGTGGAAGAATGGGATTAGGTCGCAGTGCAGTTGTAGATAACATTACCGTAGTATGAACGAGTGGAAGGGAAAAAGTGTGAAAAATTTCTGTAGCAAGGGTGAGGTTAGTACGGAGTCAGGGTTTATCAGTTAAGCACAGTTCCTGTCATTTAATCAAGTTTATGTTGGCGGGTTTTTAGACCAGATATGAGAATGTTGTTGACAAATCAAAACGGCCCACAGATGAGATGATTGATCGATTTGACCGCTGGTTGTACATAGTGCGCAAAGGAGACATTTTGTCAGAAAGGTAAGATGCTGCTGTTCTAAACTCATCATTGGAGCGATTGTTTTCAGATTTGAGTTGACTTTGGAAATTCTTCCTTACGTTTCGTGCTACGAGGGATTTTTGTTGTTGTTAGAAATATGGAGGCACTTCCAGGTATTGGACCGAAAAGCTCGGACTTGTAGACCATTTTACTTTTTTCAGCGAAGAGGTGCTTCTTACAATAGTGTACTCGCTGTCCATAGTGCTATCCTGAAGGGTGAAGACGCGAGACTACATGTGAGTTTTGGCTCGAGGAAAGATAAAGAGTTCCCGTAGCAACTCACTGATGCGCACAATATTAAGCTTGCCTCATATTGAATTTGCGAAGGTTCACAATCAGAGTGCCAGTTTCATATGTATCGCAGCTAGGGTATAAGGTCAACATAAACTTATCAATCGAGTAACGTTTCCGAACATAAAGTTCGCCATCGCATGCGCTTATGTTGGATTAGCAGTTGCCAGAATCGTGTTTTTGGCTTCGAATAGCTCTCCAACGAGCTTTAGCCCATATGGCTCCGTACAAGTTTGAGTAAACTTAGGCGATCTGACACAGTTGTCCCGGCTCGCAGTTGAGTGCATATGCAAATTTTCTGCTTCCAGTTACCATAGAAAGACGATCGAATATGTTATCGCTTTTGTTCAGATCACAATGGACTCAAACACGGAAACTTATCGACTCGTCCTGCAGAAGAACATCTCTGAACTTGGTTATCTGTTCCCGTTATTGTATGTCGCTGAGACAGGATCGTAGTTTTGCTCTATCGTTCTTGCTAATAATGTACGGTCCTAATCGTAATTGTAAACTCATTCTCATTCAAAGATCTCTTGTCTTTTTCATCTTGTGATCTTCCTAAAAATCAAACACAGCTTTGCACTGTACTTCTTCGGAGACGGCCATTCTGCACCTCGCCATAACACCCTGGTTGGTGCGCCTTTGATTGGTCACCGCTGCGCAAGCATTGGTTGAGTAGGAGCAGAGTGCCTTATAGACTGAGACGCGCAAGCGCATCCTCACATAGGAAGGAATTAGAGAAAAACTAGCTGGCTCACCCGACTCCGTCCGGCCCTGTCAAAACACTACGATAAAGGTCCCATCCCTAATCCTGTACAACTTTCCCTGTGCCCGCTTCTACATGCTAGTGCCCTATTCCCGTTGTGTTAGTGATCAGCATGCTCACTTACTCCCGCCCTGCCAACTTCCAGCCCCGTGGCTCGAACTTTGCAAAAGATCGATAAAGTCGATATTGATCGATAGGAAAAGTAGCTTATGACACAGCTTATAACCCCCGCGAAGTATATGTGTGCCAGGTTTGGTCCAAATTGGTGCAGAAATAAAAAATTCTATTTCGCACATATGTACACACATATACAGACATCATAGAACAGACATTCAGCTTTGAATATAAATTCATAATCTGAAGTCAAGTGTGATGTTCAAAAAAGTGCACTCGCACGCTTTGCAGTGCTCAGAACTTTATGACTTGTGTAACGGCTACATATTAATATCACTGCAAAGAATTCACATGATTTGATGAGGAACACAAGCGCGCGCACAGTTAACTCGGCAGCACATTCTAGCTCCAAGACGGAGCGGTGCAGAATGGGTTTAGTACTTCTTTAGACACTCTCTTCCAGAGTCGCAGCGTTTGTTCGTTCAGGTTCGTTTATGCTTGCTCATGAAATTTGCCATGAGCTGTGTCGATTGAAAGCACTGCCACAGTAAGGTAGGCACCTTTGACCGAACATTTGGAACTGCCTACAAACATATCCCATATTATTGGAGCGTCGAGAAGATTTGATGTGGCATTTCCAAAACAATAATTTCTAAAAATCAAGAGAAGTGAGTCCTTGCGTTAGGCAGTAACTCCGGGATTAACGGTACATGGCGAGTAGCTCGAGAAGTGTGAAAGACGCCCCCCCGAGAATGAGTCGCAAGATTTTGGAAGTTGCTTACACTAGTCATAAAAATATACAAATAACCTCTATACCTGTAAATAATCAAGATAATTTTTAAAAATTGTTGTAAATCCAATTCAACTTTTTAGGAATAATTTTTGTTTTGACTGACGTTTGCGTTTCTCTAAACTTTCTAAGAAGGGAAGAACTTTAAAAAAACCAAATTTTGTGAGCTATGTTAAAAGGGTACGAAAAATTCTACTATTAAGGCGCTCAATTTTTGTAAGCTTTATGCACTTGCTCAAGGAGTGAATGTACTTATTATTAAGATTGAATTTACTGCAAAGAAAGTTTCAAACGAGTCTAAAAACAGCGATTTTCCATGGTACCTACTTATAATGCATCCCCCAGATTTGTTCCCATATGAAACATCAACATGGCTGCCTTTCAGTCTTTGTAACACGTTAACTCCAGCAAATTTAAGGCGCTTATTCGAAATTGACATGTTAAAATAATCAAAAAACAGCAACGTTGATGGTTCATATGGGAACAATTGTGAGTACAACAGTAGGTACTATGGAAAGAGTAATGCAGCATATATCTTTTATGAACTGTAAACAGTAAGAACACCCAAATCCAAGAGATTCCAAAACCATCGAGTGGCTGACTTTCTACCGCAGTGTAGTTTTCAGAGTAGTGGCAGTGCATCTTTCAGATTGACTTTTCTATTAAAAAGGAAAGATTCTTAAAAGCAGCGTTCAGGCTGATTCTCGACTTCCATTTTTTCCCGTTGTCCAGGACTTTTCATAGTGCTGAATTCAAATATGGCACTCAAAAAGCGTGAATTCCTCAAAAAACCACCTTTTTGGTGCTATTTTGAGAATCTGGACGAGTGCTTCTGATGCTATCGTGTCGAAAGCAAGCTCGATGTGAAAACATGTCAAGGACTAAGGAGATTTCGTAAGGGGGTTGGCCGTGTGAGGAAGCGGGCGTGGTCTTCGAGGTCGCGTCTGCCTGGACGTAGCCTGGCGAAGAGCAGCGGCGGACTGAGGAAGGATGCAGGGAGTCAGTCCTGAGAATAAGTCGTAAAATTCATGGAGGTTACCTACTTGAGTTGGTAGATTTAGAAGTGACTTGTTCCTACTTGTAAATAATAAAAACAATTTGTAACTTTTTTCAAAACTCAAATCAGTTTTGTAAAGAAATTTTTTGAATGTGGCTGGCTACGTTGCGTCGGATCATAGGCCCACTAAAAAGGTGGGAAGCATTCCAGAAAATTATTTGAAGGGTGTGGCTGATGCCAAGCCCCTTCAATCAAAATTTTTATCCTTTCTCCTTTCGAACGAAATTTCGCGGATCTCCGCAGATAAAACCGATGTTACGTTCCCCAGCACATAAATTTTACGGTGTTGAGTTCATTAGATTAGTATCCTGGTTTTATTGACCTGATACAACATGACCCACTGGGCACATCTGAATAATTTTGTCTCATTTGCTCATTTGACTCAGTCCAAAATTCAGCGCTTCAGATGAATTGGAATACATGCGGATTGCATGAGGTCGACGTTCAGATCAGATACATACATGTTGCTTAGTGTTTCTGATCGGACTTGAAGACATGAACTAGAACGTTAGCTTGGCAGAGTAGCTGGTGTGCCAGCGTCATGCCAGCGTCGTGCTAGCGCAGTGTCGCGTTTACGCGAACGCGCCCCATACTGATCTATCGACAATCGGCGCTAGCGTGATGCCGGGGACTCTAGACGCAACCTAGACGATGTCGCTGGAAAACCTGTGTGCTTCTTCCCTTCCAATACTCTACCGAGAGAGGATTAGAAATTTCTGTACTTGGTCTATCTGAGAAATAACTATTCAGTTTTGAAAGTTGAATCGGACTCGGCTTTTCTAATGGCTTCACTGGATTTTTAATACTCCAGAGCTAAAAGCTTGCGAAAAATTTGGACTTGCAGGATAAAAGTCGACGGCCTAGCGTTCATCGTGTTCTTCCATTGGAAAAATTCTGTCATCCCCTCACTTTTTTTTCAACGACTGCCCATCATACTTATACAGGGAGTCCCAAAGAATGTGAACACAGTTTGATAGTTGATAACTGCCTTGCTTTCATGTCTTTCGCAGAGCTTGAATTACCATTCCGTAAAGCGATGTTCTCTTGAATTTTACAGTATGGAGCAAATCACCAGTCATTCTTCGTTGCTGTAGGAATACAGTATGAACTATCAGCATACAGCGCTACTGTGGAATAGGCCTCTTGTATATTCCAAAAAATCCGGAAATTCGTGCAGCAAGGTTTTCAGGCGTGGATTTCGCTACCAACTTTTACCATTTCTCGAACTTTTCAAATGGTATAATCACTTCTGACGAACATCGGAAAAACAAATGTTAGCCTAGTCCTAAACTAATTCATAAAAGAAGCATTACAGTAATGTGCAACTATCATATTCAGAATCAGCGACCTTAATCAGTCCAGCACAAGAGTATATGGATTTTTTGATTTGTTGTTGAACGGTGGCCAAGAGTGGTATGGTAACAATTTATTATATGGCTAACGTTTCGGCGCCAACGCCGTCTTCAGAGCCTGTAACCACAAAAACGAGGTGTGGTGTACGCCTGTACGTTTTTGGTCACAGGCTCTGAAGACGGCGTTGGCGCCGACACTTTAGCAAAATAAAAAATTGTTACCATACCACTCTTGGCCACCGTTCAACAACAAATCAAAAGATATCTAAATTATGCCAAGATTCATAGAAGGTCGGACTTGGAGGTTAGTATATGGGTTGTTTGATTTTCCCTCTGAGGCAAAAATTACTTTCAAATTCCTAAACTCCTCGAGTTCTATTCCGTAATTCTAGAGTAATGAAGGGTGACTGGTGATTCGCTTCATACTGTAAATCTAAGTTGAACCTCGCTCTACGGAATGGTACCTCAACGGCGAAAGGGGTGAAAGCAAGAGAGTTATTAACGATCAAACAGTGTTCACATTTTTTGGGACACTCTGTATTACCGTACCGTGCTGACGCTGATGCGCTTGCCGTTACATTCGTCGCATTTTCTTGCCTCAGTAGTGATCGAACGCGACTGATAAGGATATTGACGATGGCGCTGTAAACCTGGCTATAAATTATTTGCACGAGATGATCAGAGACCGTATCTAGCAGACTTGTTTGCCGTTTCATTTTGTTTTCGTCAACCGGTCTACTGCTGCAGAGATGGTCTCTATCAGCATTACATTATTAGCGTCTCAATGCTCTCCTATCACACCAACTATCATTAGCGTCTACATAAACTAGCTTACAGCAAATTTTCTAAGATTATTTATTTTTCGAGCATGTCGTCTTATATAAAGATAATGTACACAGCTTGTTCCTCCAATAAGCTTGTTCGTTGTCTTGTTATTTTGTCATGAGCTGCTCATATTCATAGACAATATTTTGCTGATTACAACATTCGCGTCTTTCAAGAGTTTATTTTCTGTATGAGTGGTTGCGGTAGAGTTAGGAGATGTTGCATGACATGCATGACATCGTCCCCTAGCAATCGGAAGTAACAGGAAATCTAGTGCGGAAATCCTTAGGCCTAAGGCATACTTCACGCGATCTGGCCAAATTGCCACCTTTACGCAACTTGGCGATTCTTCAGATTCGTACGGAATTATTGTGCACTCTAAAGCATAGGCGAATAGCTTTTATAAGTTGTTGCAACCAGAACAAGTCCTGCTCAAACAAAGCGCATTTCAGACCAGTTATAAACAGTTGTTCCTGTACCATCGCGCAGCGACTGAAATCGCGTGAGGTATGCCTTAGGCCTTGGTGCGCGAGATATACACCTAACACGATCGCCTAAAGAAAATGAAAGTCGGCCATATCTTAGGAGATACATCAACATTCCCGCTAGGGAGGGGGAGGGGGAAGCGCAGCTCAAAAGAAAACCTTATATCCTGAAGCTGCAGCATTCTGAATTTCACGTATTTAACTATCAGCAAGTGTTTGTACTACCCTTAACAATAAAACATGCTAACAGGAGCGAGAAGTTGTATAAGCTGCATTTTCCAGTTTTTTGTATGACTAGATGACGCCGCCGGTCCCGCACGGGATTTGGGCTACTTGATCTCAAACGCATTGAAACATACCGCCCTTCTTCATATCTGCGACGAAATGTGATGTCTTCCTTGCTGACTTGAAACACCGGATCCTTTTCGCCGAAAAATGTAGATGAACTTCACCGCCCAACTTACATGACTATGGGGAAATGATCCAACAATGGTTGGTGAACCCTCGATGTAATTAAACAAATCAATATATCAATTGAAGGGCCTAACAAATCTTCGCAAAAAGTAGCCTATCTTCAGCGCCGTGCCTTATTTATAGGGGAACGAATTTTAGCCCCATCGGTCCACACACAAAAGAGTCTATGAGCCACATACTTACAAACGAACAAATTTACAGAGATTCGGATATAGATTCCGTGATCATCCCCAGCGGCAGACAGTCTTTTCTTCAAAGTCATTTTCTTTAAAGGCAGTGTCTCACTAGAATTTGGATCTCGGGATTTTTGCAAATTACAAGTCTTCTCGACCTTGTATAACCCTAAACGGGCTCTAATTTGCGCAAAAATACCGGGAACCCCGTTCTTCGAAACCCCTTTAGAAGCGACGCGGACGAGTTTTCCCGCTTCACTCCAGTTCTGGCCACAGGAATGAACACGTCAAGAAGGATGGCGTCGCCTGGAATGACGTGTTGAAACGCGATAGAGGAACGGAGAATTCCCAGCGCGAGCCGAAATGCGCTCCGCGAGCCACTTTGAGCCGAATTTTCTCGATGTAGGAAAGGCCTTATAAAGTGGGACTTGGGTATTGGCCTAGTAAGGGGGTCCTCCAATAAACTTCGTGAAAATCTGGTATACTCTAAATCTGATGAGACACTGCCTTTAAGTTGTTGAAAACAATTCAAAGTTGTATTGATTATCCAATGCAACAGGGCTAAATATGTTTCTGGTAACTAATAAGTTTCAAATATCGTAATTTTCGATGACCCCAATTCTCTACCCGTGGTTCATCGACATTTTCATGATTTTAAGGCCCGTATGCACGTATATACATCCCCGCGGGTAGGGAAGGGATCTGAGAGGGGAAGCGTCATATTTTGCTACTCTGTATACCTTTCTTCTTCTTTCCTTATCTGTGATATGAAGGTTCTCATACCCTGATACCTACGCATAATAGATGCCAGGTTACTGCCATACAAGATTAGATTTTCACCAGTTTTGGTGATCCCCTGGGGGTCCCCAGGGGATTCACCTCTCATTTTCGAAGTCATTTATCTTTCTGAAAACTCCATGAAAATGCTGTAAAGTTGTACTGAGGATATACTACGGCACTGCTAAGCATGTTTTTGACAGAAGAAATGGAATCTGAACATTATCAATTTTTCGATAATCCCTGGCTCGAGAGCAGCGGTTCATCGAAAATTTCGATATCCTGAGATTTTCCTTATTTCTACTATAAACATGTTAAGCAGAACCATATTATACTCTCAGCACAAAGTTAGAACATTTTCATTGAATTTGTAGGAAGATAAATGACTTTGAAAATAAGAGGTGATCCCCTGAGGATCCCCGCGGGATCACACAAACTTGTGAAAATCTAATCTTGTATGGCAATAACCTGGCATGCATTACGCGCAGGTATGAGGGTAAGAGAACCTTCATATCACAGATAAAGAAGGAAGACGAAAGACATACAGAATAGCGAAATATGACGCTTCCCCTCTCAGCTCCCCTCCCCTCCCCGCGGGGATGTACGTGCATACGGGCCTGAGACATTATTTGACCTTATCAAACGCAGGCTTATCGCTGTTAGGTTAGATATTCAGTGCAACATTGGCATGTCTTCATGAATGTCGAAGAAAGAGAAATGGCTCTGAAGAGAAGACTGTCGGCCGCTGGGGGTCATCAGGAGACCATACAAAAAGCTGGGAAATGCGGCTTATACAATTTCTCGTTCCTTTTCAGCGGTTAAATGAAGGTTAGTAGGGATACTTACGAGTTAGACAGAATATCCAGACATCTGGAGCTTTAGGTTATGTGAAGTGTGACCCACCCCCGGTGGTGATGTTAGTGCATGCTGCCCCTTGAATGCGTTCGAATCAAGTCGCATACATAGAGGGCACAACGACGGTTCTTTTTCCACTTTTATTGCTTCCCTCAGTTAGATAATTTGATATGCTTTGAAGGAGGAGGTTGCGCGAATTTCATCTATATTCCAGGAGAATCGAAATGCGCGATTGCCCAGCTAAGAACAACTTTCTTTTTCGATATCAAAGGTTATGTGGTCTTGAGCCATACTTGCCGATGTTTGAATAAAACATTCGGTGCCTGAAATTATAGTTGTAGTAGAATAAAAATCCAGTCCGGACTTGACGACTGCCAATGCAATCAAGTGTTCCAAATAGCTTCCAAAACTGCCGGTTTCCTACAAAAATTCTCTTTGATTCGACGATTTAAATTTACTTTTCCGAGTCATTGTGATTGGATTATAGTCTCTCTTCTGATATAAGGCTTATCGGGACAAGCCAGCTAATTTACCACGCGAGCCAGCTGACACCCAAGTACGAGGTCATCATAATTTTAGAGTAGGCAAGATTCACGGCCTATCCTTCTTGTCTATACTTATAATTGTCTGCACATCTCAAGGTTGAGGAGTCTTCGGCTTTTCCCTATGCTCCTGTCATAGCTAGCTCTCTGCGATTGAGACTGGCTAGTTTCTCATGTTTGTTTAGAATTTCTTTTTTCACTTTATTATTTATGGTGAATTATGAGTGTACTAGCTTGCAAACCCGGCTCCTTCGGCCCTGTTAATAAAATATTCATAATCAGCATGCTCATTTACCCCCCCCCCCCCCCCTGTGCTAATTCCCAGCCCCGTAGCTTAAATTTTGCAAAAAATCGGCAGAATTCGATATAATCGATAACGAAAAGTAGCCTACGACACTCGCCCAGCCCCGAAGTGTATGTGCGTCAAGTCTGATCCGGATCGGTTTAGAAATGGAATCTTCTCTTCGGAACAGACACTTCAAGACATAACAAACAGACAAACACACATTCGGCTTCGAATATAAGATTGGAAATAAAATGAATTAAAATAATGCAGCGCATCTACAAAAATCAGCATGACTTGCTGGAGACGATCAAACTTCGCATATTTTTGAGTAGGTGAAAAAAATTCTTTACCCGACATCGAAAACCGAGACTCTTTTAGAGAAGTCATTGAATTTCAAATGGAGATATCGTAAGCTTTGAAAATTTGCCCGCAAAGCCTATCTGCTTTATGATGGTTGTTTGCTGACTTCGCAAATTTCTTTGAATGAGAATGGGAAAACTTAGACAAAGATGAAAATGACACATAGCAAGCTTCTGCATTATATGCACGCTAGTAAAATTTTTCTCCCAATTTTAGCTGTAAGAAAAACCCAAAGGCTTCCCAGATTTTCCTGTTTCTCCTCTAAATTTGGAAAGTTGGGAAAAAAGAGACTGTCGAAATGACCTCATAAAGTGCATGCTAGGAGCATTTCTCTCACTTCGTGGGGTGAACAAAGAAGTTTCTATCTGTCTGGGTCACTCAGTATCGTTCAACCAGGTCATATTACCCTTGTTTCGACTACTCTTTTCTTATCTATAATATAATAGTATCAATATAATCATTTTTTTGCAGAATTATTTGATAACCCGCAGATGTTTCCCGGCGGTGTAACGCAAAATGGAACTATGCTACCGAATTTCGGTAGGTTCTCCTTATCACTTACTAATCAGCGTGTACCTGAAGCCTGACAAAAAACTATTGAGATTGGGTAATCTAGACAAATCATACGGGAAACCGATAGACGACCTTCGCAAAGGTGATTTCTCACCTGAAGAAGCTAGACTTCGCTGTCAGCTGGCATCCCTCTATCGTCTAGTAGACCTTTTTCATTGGAGTCAAGGCATTTTCAACCACATGACGGTAAGGGAATCCTTTTAAAGATTCAGAGTCTAGAAACACTCTCTGTCGATAAGATGGCCCGTGTTAGGTGCGACTTCCTGGCAATGATGTGGAGATTCTGATCAATCCTTTCGGCTTGCTCTATCATGAGCAGACTGCAAGTACACTTGTGAAGGTGAATCTTGAAGGAAAAACACTGCACCCAGGAAGCACAAAACTCGGAATCAACCAGGTGAAACTAATTTGTTTGAAGGCAGTTTCCATGTAATGGGTAAGTCAGAAGGAGACTGGTGGGCGAGCCTTAGCTAAGTCATTGCGCAGGCGGTAGCCGATTTGATTCATCCGTCGTCCTGAAATTATAAACTGAACTCTCGCCCAATCCGTAATCGGAGTGAGTGGAGCGTATTCGAGTACTGTAGCGAGAGAGAGTTTGAAGATGAACATTTCGGTCACAAATAGCATATGAGCTGCTGCTTGGGGGCAGTGGGCTAGTAACTCCTCCCAATCATAATGCGCGAATCGTTTGTAACTCAATATGTGGGCCTGCACACTCGCGCGGCAACGTCAACACCTTACTAGTAATTGGTTAGTAGTACTTTTCTAGCGGAACAAACTGAAAATTTGTGTTACTACCTGATACATATCAAGCCAGATTAAAAAAGTGAAGAAGAAAAAGGAGAAATTGAGAAATTTCTGACCTTTTTACCCTACAAGTCGTGAAGTAGCGCACGTGATGTGCGGCATGTATATCAATTTACAACTGACGTCAATTCCCTCTACAGGCCGGCTACACCCTCCATTCGGCCATTCATGGTGCTCGCGAAGATTTGAAATGTGTAATACACCTACACACACCTGCGGTCGCTGCTGTGTCGGCTATGAAATGTGGTCTTCTTCCCTTATGTCAAGAGGCCATGATCGTTGGCCCAGTGGCGTACCATGAATATGAGGTGAGCCAACGATGAGAGCCAAGGGTGGCTTTAAAATGTACTTTGAAGGGAATCGTGGACCTGGACGAAAAAGAGTCGCTGGTGCAAGATATGGGCTCACACAACGTTATGATTCTCAAGAATCACGGGTTTGTTGTTGGTGGAGCGACAATCGAAGAAGCTTTCCACCTGACTTACCACCTCATCTTAGCGTGTCAAACACAGGTAATCTCATTTCGGCTAAATTAATTAAAAATAATAAACATCATGGACAAAATCGTGGGTCAAAAGTAAATAGTAAAGGCTACTGCATGACGAAGGCGCAGAAGCAGTATCAAGCAATGGAGATAGTTTTTAGGGTCCTGGAGAAACCCAGAAGAAAACCGACAAACATTTTAAATTTTCAGAGTTGAACATGTTCTTTTGCAAGCGCGCGAATTTCAAACACAAGACTCAAGCAAACAAATAAAGGCTGCTGCATGACAAAGGCGCGGAGGCAGTATTAGTTGAGCGGGCGCGAATGTGGCGCGCGTACCTTCAGCGTTGTAAATCCGGCGCCTCATGCGCTCTGCGCCTAATTAAGCCGCGTTCGCGCTCAAACATATATCACCTTCGTCGTGCAGTAGCCTATAGCCGCAAGAAAATGCAACTTAATTCATCGATGTTTTAGAAATGCGATTTTGAATGTCATTTAACTAGATTAGAGTTGGTTATCACTGTGTCGAATTTATATTATATATTTAGAGCTAGCCAGGCTATCTCGAATTTGCAAAGTTGAATATATTAGGTTGTCCCAAAAGTAAACTCCATTCTCAAATAAATGGACCCATTTTTATTTTCCTAACAGACTTAGGGTACCATTCGATAGAGCGGAGCAGGCTTTACTAAAAAACCACCAAAGGTCCACCTAAGTCGTAATCCAAGCGAAATTCGGAGCCATAATCATAATTTTTCAGCTAACCTAAAATCAGATCTCCTTCCGAAAAATTCCTACGGACTTCCGAATTGGTCGTTACATAGTAGACAAATATTAGTACCCAAAAATGTATTTATTGGATTTTCCTGTTGCCCACCATGCCAAAATGCCACTTTTTCTGCTTTTTTATGTAAAACTTGTATTTCTCGATTATAAAAGCACATATAAGGGTAAAGTTTCAACATCATACTTAGTAGGGCTTGTAGTATGAAATGACACATGTGCGTGGGGCTGAGGGTGGGGTTTGCCATTTTTCTATCTTTTTTCTTGCTTTCTATGCGCCGAAAAAATCCAGTAAAGACATATCTGGCAATGAGTACTATTATGCTATGCGCCTGCCATACAATGACCAGTTTGGAGGTCCGCAGGATTTCTCTCGCAAAAATCCAAATTTCATGACAAAATATTTTTCGATTTTTTTTCGAACTTTACATATAATGCGACTTAGGCGGATCCTTGCTGGTTGCTTTGTAGAGCTTGATCTGCTCTATCGATTGATACCCTAAGTCTGCTAGAAAAACAAAAACAATTAAGTTATTTAAAAAAGGAATTTACTTTTGGTCCCACGTAATAGATTGGCTGTAAAATTGCTTGAATGATTTGTTACTGCTCGTAAATCATTGAAACAGCTTTCAAATCTAAAACTGAAATTCGTGTAAATTTTTTTGACGTGTCTGTTGCAACGCCGTCCTCCAGTATAGGCCCGTAAAAATTTTAAGCATCTTAACTTCGGAACCCTTAATTCAAAAATTTTCCCCCACCATTTCGAAAAAAACCATCTCGGATCGCTATTAAGAGTAAAATAGTACAGAAAATCTTTCTTTTGAGAGAGGAGTTAGGGGTTAAAAAATGTTTTTGGGAAGTTTTTAAGTTTGGTAGTCTATAAACTTGAGATTTTAGAAGAATTGTGTTGCGCAGTACATCTCGCCGTCTCGCAAATTCTCTTTTGCATTGACTACTCCGATCCCATCCTTTGAAAGTACGAAATTTGTAGACTATTTTGATTACATTCAAATGAAAAAAAAATTTGAAAACTCCAAAACTTATATGAATCAATTCGAAAAATCTCTTCGCTCATATTTGAGAGACGGGGATGCAAGGAGAAGCGAAAAACGGTCTCACTCCTTCCGCTTGCCTGCGAAACTGGTAAAGGCTAGAAATTTCTATCTCAAATTCTTTATCGCTTCTTCCTTGATCTGGCAACGCAAGAAATTGCATAACCACTTGTGTTAGAGTGTTTGCGTTGCTAAGCCTTTGATGAGAAAGCTCTATCGAAAAAGCATCAGAACTGATTTGGACCAGTTTTCATTTGCTACGCAAACCTTAAAACAGGTGTCTGACATTTTTGTAGCGTCATCCTTGCTCGATCTAATTTTTTATGGCTAATTGCTTGGTCCATGACTTGCAAAATCAAAAATTCTGAGCTTAGGTGCAAGCAATGAGATGTGGCGGAGTAGATGCATTAAATCTGCCGAAGGAAAAGGCTGCACGAAAAGCCTTCGAGACTGCTGCCAATGGAGGTAAGCTTTCCCTTCATAAAAAATATAAAAGTCATGAAAGTAATGTTATAAATGGAAATCTCTTAGGTGGAGGTGTACTTCGAAGAAACGGTGTCATCGACAAGCACTGGTCGCTAGGCGAACTCGAATGGCAAGCTTGGATGAGGACACTCGACGACATGGTAAGAAGAAATTTCTCTCTGAGCAGTCTGGCTGTTCAGGATCAGTCTGACTTTGACCGCTTTGGAATGGATTACATGAACAAGCAATCTCCGCCAATGAGCTCAGTGTTTTTCAGGGCCTCAGAACTGGCTACGAGCACCGACCGTTATAAATGGGAGGCTCAATCCGCTCTTTCCATTGGGTGCTTACTCCTTCGCCTACTCCATCAGTCATTACCTCATTGAAAAAAGATTGCATTCCATTTACAACTTTGTGATATTCTTATTGATGATATTTCTCCAATAAATAATAAAGACGCTATGCTACCAGTTGAAATATTTGAGTTAAAAATCAAGGGAAAAGATTATGGGCTGCAAATTCGATAAATGGGCGATCTCCCCTTTATCTAAACTCACATGTGAACATAAGTGGACTGCATAATGTGTCTAACTAGAACACCTTCTTAGCTTTACTATCGTTGAGTCTTCCAAAAAGTCGTCATGCGAAGATTTTCATCGGTTACCCACACACATAATTTCAGCGCAGGATCGAAAACTTCTGTAGATATCAAGGAGGTAGAGCAATTAGCCAAAAGATCGCTTTTCAATCGGTGCGTTGATTGAAGATTGATGCGTTTTTCTAACCTTCTTTTGTGAAGCACTGTTTCCGTTGGAAACTTAAAAAAAATCTTGCATAACATTTAAAACTCCTCCCATGCTCTTTCAAACAATGGTGGAGCATCATCTAATGAGATTTTAGATAATTACAGATAGCTGCACTCAGATTCGAAATATTACTACTTTTACTTTCCTGTTTCAGCCAAAAATGAGTGCATTTCAGTCATAGCTATAATATACAATAGAAATTGTTATCATCTGCCCAGTCAATCATATTTATCGAAAATGTTTAGACTATGAAATGACACCCCAAAAAACGGAGAGTTGTAAATGCTATTTTACACTCTAAAAATTTCTATTAAAATATTAGGTATAAAACTGTGCAGAGGACTTGTTTTCATTCAGAATATTAGGTATAAAAATGTGCAGAGGGCCTGTTTTTACTTGTAAATAATTAAAATAATTTTTAAAAATTTTTAAAAATTCAAATTAGCCTTGTAAAAAAATTTTTCAGGGAGGAGGGGGGGGTCAAGGGCCCGGAAGAATTTTTCGGAGTGCGTGGCTGACGCCACGCACCTTCATTAAAATTTTTTTTCAAACATGCACTAGGTAAACAATATTCATCCCATACAGTAGCTCTATATATTCAAAAGAATTCGTTCATTTGCGCCTGAATTGTGGCCAAGGAACTTAACGCAACAAAATTTCGATTTTGATAGCGCTGTACGGAATGCTGGTGTAATTCTCACAGATAAAATGGAAGCTAAGTTTACCACTGTTAGAAAGTACATAAAGAAAGCTTTCTAAAGATGTACAGAAGCTATATCGAAAAGAATTTTTGAAGGAAAAAAGTTGTTCGGAAAGTAAGCCTAGAAAAACGAACATCATTTTTTAACAGCCCAATATAATCGTCAACGCTCCGCGCACTTTTTGTAAGCAGGAAGGTGGGGCATCTTACTAACAATCCATGTAAAAGCATTTAGGTTTGGTTGCACCCAGAAAGCAGTACTCATAAGTGAACAGTTCCAGAAGGGTTTTGCTTTGTTTTCCAAGCAGTGGTTTTCTATCACTAAACTGGGTTTCCGCTGACTTGGCTCGAATGTTTGCTGCTTTTGTTGATTTTGACTGCATACGAGTATATGGAATTTCAACAAATACAGCTTAAATGGAACTTTGCAAAACGTGCATTATTTTCGCACCGAATTAAAAAAGAGAAAGGATAAAGATGAATATCTTTTCCTTTACCAGAGTTCCCTTGTCCTACATTTTTTGGGGACACTCTTTCCTTATAGTTTCAATACCTCTGAGCAAGTGAAGTTCATGCAAGACCGGAGCTTCGAGAGTAAGGGAGACTTAGGGCAAAAGTTTAATGTGAAGGTCAAGCGTTTGCGTTTGTGCTCGCCGCACATCTACGCAATTCGCTATGTTCGGAAGAAGCGTGAACAAACACTCTGACCCTGTCTCAAATTCCACTTTTTGGACGATTTGGAGCATCTGTGAAGATATTTTTACTTTCGATATCCAGTTTCCCCGTCCATTTCATCACACACATTTTTTTTCAAGAACTGGCCACTTCCTACATTCCACCCGTACCACAAACTGTTCCTGTTGTGAGTTACAGAGCTGTTATTACAAAGGCTCTGGCACAGTCCTTTTAGCGGACCGGTCTTTGCGTTTGGCCGTACTGAGTTCCTGCTTGATTCGAAACCTCAGTCGAGTGGTTTGCTATTCACACCATAAATTTCGCATAGTAAACAAACCCACTCCGTTTTCTCTCTATTAGTTGGTCATTTTGTGCAGCTTGAATAATCGTGAAACATGTTATTCACTCAAAGAATTTCTTCTGACCCATATTCAACCCGAGTTTTTTTGCTGCATATTCCAGGGATGTTGATACCGCTGCTTTTGATGCTGGTTCATGTAGAAGCTCAGCGATCGGTTCCGCCACGCCATATCGGTTATGTGAGTGTTGTTGAGAGCAAATTTCTAAAATGTACCAAAATTTGTAGACACGTCGTTCTCAAAAAATGCAAAGTTAAGTTAATCGAGGTGCACATGTCTAGTAAACGAATTCCGAGAGGGTATTGTGTTTGTCCGAAACTTCTTGCCATTTTTGAGATCTTCTTTCCTGATGAAGATAGACAAACGTTCTGAAAGGTATTCAATAAATTCTTCCTTCAAGCAGTAATGGGGCTTTTGTTGTAATTCCTTTGATGCTCGCTCAATAATCGTCAAAATCTCCAATCCACCTTTTTCGCATTCTTATTTCTTACTTTTAGAAAAGCTCTAAGTCATTATCGGATGGGAAGAGCAAAATGCAAGCAATGCTTAGCGTACAATTATGTGCAGTTGCTGAGGCATATAGCCAAGGTTGTTAAAAATTCTTTGTTAGGCTTAGTTTTGGAAGGCTAAAGCAATGAAAAGACTAAACTCAGCAACTACACATACATAATTGTACGTCAGAATGCCAAGATTTATTGAAATGCCAAGATTTACAGAATAGAATTTGGAAGACAATGCTTAGCGTTCATTTAAAATGATTTTTTTTTTGGTGTTACCAGATTCAATATCATCCCAGACCTCGTCGAACATCAGTTAGCAGGCAAATAGGGTGTCTTTCTATGCAGATTGTTCTGCTTGTTGTGACAAACGTTCTTTCTCCCTGATTCGGAGGGTGAGGGTAAAATCATCTCACATCTCATAATTCTCGTTTCTAAAAGCATTCCTTGCTGTGCCCGAAAAATTCGAAATCCAATATTCCGAAAAGCACATTGTTTTGTGTGATTACTGTTTAGTCATAATCGACTTTTGAAAGCTTCTCTGAAGGTTTATTAGTGCTTGAAGTACTTAGGTATTCTATGACTACAAAAATGAAGATTTTCAAGAGAATTCTATGGAAAACCAGTTTTAAAGCCCAAAAAATTTATGTTTTGCATTGTTCACTCTATCCAAAAGTGACCAGAACTCTTCCAAAAGCTGGAACTGAAAATCGAAAATAGAGCTCGGCACGAGGTGGCTTTTTGAAACTGCAAAAAACGAGGTCCCACTTGACTTCCGCGGATTTTTACGAGGTCCCCTTTACCCTAAACTCTAAACGTGAAAAAACCTTTCAAAAAACGAAACGTCGGCTAAAAAAACTTCACAATATTTGTGTCTTTTCGGCCTCAAACGAAATCCCCTTTGCTTTTTGTCCCAAAAACGATATCCAGCTTGCTTACAACCCATCTGTGCCGAGCCCTGCTCAACCATGGATTGGAGGATTTGACGATTATTTGAATGATCATCGAAGGACATGGAACAAAAACAATACTGCTAGAAAGTAAAAGATTTTCTGCATTGAACACTGCTGGAGCGTTTCATCTAACACTACACTGAACTATGGAGAATAGGTCTGGAAAACGGCACGAACTTTCGAACCGACCCGGTACTTGTAACTGTAGTTGAAACTGTAGAGTTTCTCACTTTTATCATCGCTAATTTATCAGAGATTTGTCAACGGCAACGAACCTATAAGCTTATACTATTCGGAGAACCGTTTTTTTGCAAAACTATTTTTGATACTACAAAGAAGGTGTAGTAGTTTTTTCCACTCTCAAAAATAATGTTTCCGACACATACTTCTCTCTTTCTGCGAGAAGTTTTTATTTTATGTGTAGAGTCAATACCATGCAAAGCCTTTCTAGTAATGATCGACCGATTCATTCTCTTCCGCGACTTTGTATAAGGAAAAGTAATACTACTTGAGCATGTCTCGACGTACCACCATGTATCCATGATTTTTGATAATTCATAAGGTTTCACGTAAAAAATTGTTTTTGTTGCCTGCTTAAAGCATACGCAGAGGCCAATGCTGCGGGTTTTGCTTTTCGGAAAATTTCACCTAGGAACAGGGCTCGGCACATGCGGCATACAAGCAAGCTGGATATCGTTTTTGGGACAAAGAGCAAAGAAATATCGTTTCTGTGGATCCGAAATTAGGTTTTGTTAAGTCGACGATTCGTTGTTTTAGTCCATTCGGAAATTTCGGATAAGGGTTGAAAGGGACTTGGTAAAATTTTGCGAAAGTCCGTAGGGACTCGTTTTTTGCATTTTGAAAAGCCACTTCAAGCCGAGCCCTGCCTAGGAAATCGAAACAAGCATTAATTTTTCCTATTTCACGAACATAAAAGTTTTCTAAGCGGAGCAAGAATAGCTTTCAGGGAGTTGCGCATTTACGAACACATAGTAAATATACGTTTATAAACCATGTCTCAAGAAAGTTGTACAAAATTTAATAATCTGGATATGAATTTGATGCTTTCTCGAACACAAAACTTATCACGAATTGATTGATACTTATATGTATGTTCAAATTGTTCCATTGTTATTCAGAATCATAGACCAGGTGTAGTACCCAACGGAGTTGTAAGAAGACCTCCATCGCCTACCGATGAAGACAGCTATGAGGTGAGTCTCTTGCAAGACTTTCTATTTTGCTTTTTATTAGGTCGTCCCAAAAGTATTTTCGCTTTTTTTGAGCAAGCGCCACAATCCGCAGAACAAAGGTTAACAGAAGTTCTTGGGAGAATTCGATGCAGTTTTTTATTCTCTTTCAAGTGGTCATCTTTATTTAGCAGTTGAAACAATGTGCTATCAGAAAATTGCGATAAACTGCGACCCATGCTTTTTACCAAGGTCAAGTTCCACTATTTTTCTAAATATACTGATCCCCCGAAGAAGTCCAAGTAACCAGCGGATAGAGCAAAGAAAGTAGGATACAAAACAGTTTCAATCTCCTTCCCAGGGCTCCCCATAACTTTTTGACAGAATTCTGAACAACACCGTCGAATTTTAGAAATTCCATATCAGACGAAGACTCGTCAAACTTCACTAAACTCTCGATTTTTGATACTTCTAAAGTGGATTAGGATTCACTAATTTGAAACAATTGAGCGTTCCGGGGTTCAAGATATCGAATTTCTAATTTAGCGTACAGCCTGGGGTTTCTTGAAAAACATGAATTTTGTCGATTTTATCCTCCAAGACTTCTCGAATCAGGGACAAAAACATGTCTAAGAAAGAGGAGAAAGTGCTGCGTCGAATAACACCCGAGTTGCTTGCCGGCTGTTGTTCTATGAGGTTTAAGTTGACCAAATATGGAATTTGGTAGCATCGAAAAACTAATTTTAAAAAATTTTCGAAGCCATGGAACGGACAAAAATTGCATAGCATCCTACTTTGTTTGCTCTATCGACAGGTCACTTGGACTTCTTCGGGGGATCAGTACAAGAATTTAGAAAAATAGCTGAACCTAATCTTGGTAAAGAGCATGAGTTGCAGCAATTTTTTGAGAGCTCGTTGCATCATCTGCATTATAGAGATGACCATCAGAAGCATGAAAAACTGCATCGAATGCTACTAAGAGCTCGTACACCTTTGTTCTGCAGACTGTGGCGCTTGTTCAAAAAAAGCGAAAATACTTTTGGGACGACCTAATATAAATACTGTAGCATTAGACCTTTGGCCATAATGTTACTTGCAGTGTTTCAGATTTCATAGAAATAGAACTATTTTATTTGCACCAAGCTGTTCCAGGACGAGTGGGATTTCACCCCAGCACTTCCAAGGAATCACATTCCAAAGGCTCCTCAGCCAACAGTTGCATTACCAGTGATTGTCAAGCCTGAACCACCTCCCATTCAAGCAACAAAGCTCGACATTCAAAAACAAGTTCGTTTGCTTTAGCCCATAAGTCTTGCGTCAAAAAAGTTATAAACATTTTGCCGAAAACGTGCACCCAAATGCAGTTAATTTTTACGTAGTTTCTAACTAGCTGTTGCATTTTATTACATACAAGAGATGATGCAAAATCAAAAGTAAAGCAAATTGCTTGATTAACATTTAGCAGAAACATATGATCAGGAGGATATATTTCTCACTTACAAAAATAGATTGAATGAACTCCAAAAAATTGATATTGGATTTTATTTCACTTCGAACAATTTTCACAAACAAACAGTAAGAGTCTTTTTCAGCTTGAATCAGCGATTTGGGAGCAATAACTTCAACTTTGAGCGTTGATAGACAGCTATTTGATATTTTTGAATTCTATAAATTTAGAAAATACAAGGAGGAGATTTATTTTTTAAAAATTGTTGAGGAGTTATGGGGCAATATAATGGCTTAAAGAAGGGATTAAGCACTATCTAATTTGTCACTTTGCGATTATCTCTTGCTCTCTAAAAAGAGCAATTGTATTAAGATAGACTTGATGAAACTCCAAAAAACGACGACGGAGGCTACAACTACAACTACCACAAATGCCAAAAACAACAAAGCATACGAAATCAACTTTTGCGATGAGGTAGGACTTCGATATTGTTATTTGTGAGTTCAGTTTTAAAGATCTTGAGCGAGTTTTCAGAATGAATTTCCCGATGAATTGCTGGCCATGTATAGTCTCGAAAGAGTAGAAAATTTTATTTGGAATATCTCGTGCTCTTCCAGCTTCTTTCAGGTAACCAGGTGTTCCGTTCTGTTTTTCTAGATCTTGATATATCGCTTATCACAATCAACCATTCAAGTGGTCTAAGGCCCCGGGCAGACTTCACGCGATTTGATCGTCGCGACTGAATCGCGAGGAGACAACTGTTACAACATCATTCCATGCAGATCAACTTGCATTCGGTTGTGATACTTTTCCAGACCGAAATTTTTGAATGTGAAATGAAAATGAATGGAAATCTTGGCGATTTGGTCGCGACGATTAAGTCGCGTGAAGTCTGACCGGGGCCTAAGAAAACTGAGCAAATTGCTTCTAATTCTATTATTTAATTTTGATACCTGACAAATTTGTGAAGGTTCTTTGTCAAAGAATTAGATCGAGCTTTTTAAGAAATACTCGAATGCAAAACTCTTTTTTGCCTTCGAGTATTTCTAAGTAAATAAACTTCATCAGTGTTGTACGCAGCAGTGCAAACATTCTTGGCGATTGCTATCGAAACTACGATAATGCAAACTATTACATTCTCTGATGGGGACCTCAAGATTAACGCAAAAAGTATATGTGAGCAAGACACGTACAAAGCTGTAGCTATCCGATCTTTTGACTGGTATGTTTTTTGATCAAAAACGTTCCTTCAGTAACAATTACCGTAGGGCCGTACAGCTTAGATGTTCCACACAAAGAATTAGATTTTGGAGCTTTTCAGAAATACTCAAATGCAAAACTCTAACGGCGCTATTGAAGAGCTTGAGCCTCCGAGCTGTCTTCGTAATACTGCTGCTTCCAAACTACTAAAACATAAATTTTGCACCACGGACCGAGCAAATGCGTATTTGAACGATGCGATTACAAGATGTTACGGGGACAGATCTGAGAATTAATCAAATCATAAGAGCTAATTTTTGACTGTTCTTTCCTAAACCGGAAAAAGTTTGAGTTGCGCAGGAGCCTATGAGAGCTGGAAACTGCATAAACCGGAGTTTTCATAGAAACTAAAGTAGACGTATCAAGTAAGAACTGGAAGTCGCGGCAACTTTGAAAGAGTTATCTGTCATGTTGGTTCAAAGCACATTATTTGCATTTCACAATGTTCGTCCGGTCTCCGTCTCGATGTCGAAGCAGCCACGTGTTTCAAGAGCTTGTCGCTAGTTAACAAACGGGTTTCACTTTCTGAAATTCACATTTGTGGATAACTTGTCTATGTTGTTCCAAATGTTAAGATTGCAACTTTTTGCAGATTTCAATTACAAAAAAAAAATCAGTAGTGCGGAAATATAACAGAGGTTCTTGTGTGGATGAAGTGTCCAACTGAATCTTCTTTTTGCTGATGCTGAGAAAACGACTCGTTTGCAATACAGACCTGATGTATGACACTAAATTTCCTGGGCATTTGGGCGATAGGTATAGTATTTAAAGAGCCGGGAGAAAAAGAGGTAATCCAGGTGACCCACTAAGGTGGGCCAAGGAAAAGAAAGTCATGATTCTCTTTTTTGCTCACATATTCGGGTGTCCCACAATTTTTTACCGTTTTTAATACAACCGTCGTCTTTTTATATCTTTCCTTCAATTCTTGAGTAATCGTTCGACAGGGCAAAGCAAGCTCGCAATTAAGAGTGCGCCCAAATTGTATTCCGCGTTAAGTTTTATGCAGGGATCTAATGGCACTCAAAAACCAACTTTACCGTCAGAAATTATAACTCCGCTCCAAGAAATCTTACAAATCCCTCATTTATCCTAGCATATGTGACACATCGAACATTCAGTTGTACACTTTGCCTATTTTTTCCATTGCTAGAAATAAAAAAAATGAATGCGGTAAAATGGCAAACTCCTCCCCCAGACCCTGAGCCCCTCTCACTTACGTGATCATTTAGCTCATACATGCAGAAGTACAATCATGTATTTGTACTCTTTGTAGGTGTTCCAGCTCTCGAGAAATGTGATTTATATAGAAAACGGTAATGAATTATGGGATACCCTAACAATTTTTGACCGTTTTTACAGGATATTTATTTGCTACTCAAATCCCTAGCCAGTCTCTGAACCGCCTCAAACACCACATACGTACTCTTTCAGCTTAGTGAAGGCCTTCGAAAATCTATAGTTGCACAATTCCACTTCAAGCTGGCAGTAGTGAGAGGAAAATATGAACTTTCTTAATACTGATTGATGTCTCTTAGGTGTTCTTATAGTGTTCCCCTGTTTTTTTTTTCGTAGAAATTATAAGGCGTTTTGTCGCTTGTTCGACTAGTTTTTTTCTAAAAGTTTCTGCCTCTGGCCCGGAAATTTAATTGATCAGAGAAAAATATGGAGTTTATAATGATCTGATATTTTAGTTCCACCTATGCTCCAAAAAGTTTATCAAGTTATTTAACCATGACTCATGATGTAAAAGCAATCGCATTTGCAGTGCTCCGGCGGACTAACTTACGCCCTAAAATGCCCATCAGAAAACCAGGCTTTCGACCGTTCGGTAACGAACTGCAACTATAGGAACGCCATAAAAGTGTGTCCCGACTTCGACCACGTACTCTACTGCTGTGAGCTTCCCTTGAACAAATTTTTTTCGCGGAATAAAAGTTTGTTAGTTCAGCCATCAAAGAAATGTGCACGGAGAGCGAATTTGCTTGCTGCTCGATGCCACAAAAGTGCATTCCGCTATCAAAAAGATGCGACGGCCATATGGACTGTGCTGATGGTGACGATGAGAACAACTGCCGTAAGTTCTGCAAGCACTGCGTTCGCATGTTCTTGCCTTACATGGGCATCAGTCTTCATCCGGGATTAGGACCTTATTCGTACTGCTTTGTAAAATCGTATACTCAATGTCAGCATACAAAGCGCAAAAGTCGACGGCTTAAACTCGATGTAGATATTATAGTAAGCTTACTTTCACTTTCTACGGAAAAGGCAACATTCCCTTATCATATTGAGTGAAACGAAAAGGCCTGGTTTCTATGAAACAGTTTTGTAATTTCGATAAGGTCGAGTAAATCGGCATATCGTGGTGAAATTATTTTTTTCAACATAAAAGCTGACTAGAAACCTTAGCTTTCTAGCCGTAGAAACCTGTGAAAATTATTAGTAGATTGAGCAATTTCGATCTCTAAAATAGTTTGGTGTGATCCTGTACACGTCCTTGCTCTCGATTTTTTTGTAAATTGCATATAAGGGAAGTAACACGTGGGTAAAGAACAGAGCTTTATTTGGTACACCATAGAGGGCTTTCAAAGTCCGGTATGCCAGCACCGTGCCAGCGCAGTCTACCGCACGCGGACGCGTGATTGATCAACTTTCTGACACGATAGCACGGTGCTGGCACGGGCAACTCACACCGCCTTAGACATATCCGTATTTCCAGCATCCTGCACGCGCTACGAATTTGCGTGTGTCAAAAGCAGCAGGTGCATTTCCGCCGAAAAGCGATGTGATGGCATCCCGGACGATTGCGGAGACTACAGCAATCTGGATGAACTAGGCTGCAATGTGAATAACAGTAAGTTCAATTGATTTAGTGAATTAGAAGCTCTTGAACAGAGCATTTACAATCTCGCATGGTTCAGCAAGTGTTAAGTGTCTTTTGTGGCATAATTGCGCGATTAGATCACATGAACATTGTGCGAAGAAGTCGAAGTTTGTTGACACTTTTCTAGACTGAAATAAGAACAATCAGCTGGCTTGCGTCCCAGAAAAGTTGGTTTCAAAGAGGTAGCGATGTGTACAGCACGACTGTCAAAGTGTGAAATGTTTTGTCTATCGAAGCGTCCGAGTCGTCCGTGCCAGCGTCGTGTTAGCGATTGTTGGAACGTGGATGGATTAGTAGGCGCGTTCGCGTAAGTTCTGGCTCGGCGAAGGGGGTGTCACAGCGCCTGCAGAGTATACTTAGGGAAACTCGAAATTTTTTTGATTGTTCGAATATCGAGTAATATTGGAAATTCGAAATTTTCAAATATTCGTATCGAATATTATTCGAAAATTGAAAACTTCAAATATTCGACTATCGAATAATAGTCGAAAATCGAAAATTTCGAATATTCAACTATTGAATATTATTCGAGAATGGACATTTTCGAACTGAATTATGTCAAATATCATTTGATTTTCGAATACTATTCAAATAATTTATGTCAGTGAGACTGCCTATGAAAGACCAAGACATCTAACAATGAACTGTTTCATGCAAGTATCAAAAAATGACACTTTTTTATGTTGAAATTTACTATGAAGATACGTTTTACTGGTGACGTGAAGAAACTGTTAGAACAAGAACTTCTGCGACGGTTGTGAAAAGATTTTTCGAACCCTGGGAAAGATTAAACTTCCTTGAGAGTGGTGGATTGATATACAGAGGACCCAACAGTATGCAGATCTGTGTGCTGCCATCAACTTAGAGTTACAGTATGGAGCGATTTATCGATAGCTATTCACTGTATTAAAGTTACCGTAGAAAATTTGAGGGTTTTGAGACGTTAAGAGCCGTTTCCCCAGAAAAGGAGATCAAAAAGGCCGAAACTCGTACAGTCATAGTCTTAGACTTCTGATCATCATATATAGAACTTGCACTCAACCGTAATGCTTTCTTTACAACTTATGCCAGATACACCGTAACAAATATTTTGATCACCTTTCAAGAACGTGATTGCACATTGAAAAGCTTGAAGACTTGTGCTACACAATTAGGTAGATTTTTTTGTAGTGGGGTGGGGGATTTTTCTGTCTTATTTCGCATTTGCTCTACATGCTGCAAATTTTTACCGTGATAACACTACAAGAAAAAATGGGTGATTGCTACATTTCTAGGCTGAAGCCATCCCTACAGGATGCTACCCAAAGGTTGGCTAATGATTTCTTGAGAGTTAGTAGCGATCGAATATTGTGTAGATATGCTTGCGACACCCCGTATATGATGTTGTGGATATCGAATTTCCGAATATTCGATGCACCTCGAATTTACAATTAGTCAGTTTTTATCGAATTTTCGAATATTCGGTGCCCATCGAATATTCGAATATTCGAGAGAAATCGAATGATCGGATCAACGACGATCGAACATTCGGCTATCGAATTATATTCGAAAATTGAGATTTTGGAGAAAAATGATAGTATTCTAAAATGAAAATTTTTGAATATTCGACTATCAAATATCATTCGAAATCTCAGACGATCAAATATTCGAATTTCAAATCATTCGCATTCAAATGATTTATTCGAATAATCGAATAATCATTCGATTCGGTCTAAAGTATGCTGCACACAGGGCCCAGCAGAGGTGGCGCTTTCACACATTTGATATCGTTTTTTGAGGTGGAAGCAAAAGTGAAATAAACTTTTCAAGGCAGGAGGCGAAGTACTGGATCTGGCAAATTTTTAGCAAGCACAACTTACTATTAGTAAGGCCGATTTTGGGGCTTCAACGTCATCTTATCAGTGACAGGTAAATACATGTTACAAACACGATACAGCATGAACTTGTGTACGCACGATTCCCAACATGTCAAAACATGATGCTTGTGCAAAAAAAGATAAGAAAATAGTTTGTTTACAACGACTAAGCAATATAGAGAAATCAAATTTACTGTGTAGCTTTGCGACGATGTTGAAAAGAAAAGTATGGAAAATTATGAAAAAATTATGTGATTGGAAGGAATTGTAAGCGTTTTTCTGATCTAGGTTGCTCCCGCGCAACGTGGGAGCACCCTGAGGTTGCGCGAGCCCAAACAAAGTCATAATTTACCCACTTCTTCACATAATTTTTCGGAAAGCTTTACATAAATCTGTTCTCCAGTTTAAGCTCTATTTACTAGTATTCATCTCAGCCCAAGTTTTGACCCCTCTCCTTTGCTACGGCACTTGAAAACATAAAAAATCTTTTTCTTTTCCGCTTTCTGTTTATCCCTAATTGTCTGGATTTTTCTCAGTTTTATGCACTGCTGCAGATTATAATCCGTACTTCCACAAATCCACAAGAGCTTATTCGTAAATTTCTGCAATGTCAAATGGGACCTCGTTTCCAAGATTCTCAAATGCCACCTCGTGCTGGGCCCTGGCTGCACAGGCTTCAGGCGGTCGGCACAGTGATGGCGAGGACCGTTTTATAGTACCAAATAAAGTGAAAAGGGCCGTTTTGTAATTTTCCTGATAAGTCGTCGATAAGCACATTTTCTCCAAGGATTCATAATTTAGATATCGCACAATGCAATAAGACAGATATCCACTTTTAGTAAAATCTAAATAATTTTTAGCCTGCATTGGCAAGTTCATGTGTCACCTGTCCCAGGAAGGGCCTCCCTGTGTCGAGTGGCCGCAACATTGTAATGGCGTGAAGAATTGCGCTTCAGGAGAAGATGAGCTGAACTGCCGTGAGTTTAATTAAATTTCATTTGCTTGTCTCGCTGGAGTTGTCTACTCATTACTTTTTGCTCAGGTGCACTGCAATCGGATGTTATGGTTTGTGAAGATCAAAGACAATCGATACCGAGGGAAAATTGGTGCGATGGAGTGCGACACTGCGACGATGGCAGTGACGAAAGATATTGCTAGTATTGGCTAAATCTTGCATCGTTGTTGTGATTCTCGTGGGGAGAAGTTATGATATTATTCATCAAATTATTCATTCTAATTTATTGTGCACTTGTTTGAAGCTGTCCCCGTGATCTGATTCAATATATAGACCTTCGCAATCAAGATAAGATGCTATTGTGTGCTTCATCAGAACGAACTCTATCTAAGAAGTAACAGAGTTACGCTTGATCTAAAAAAAGAAAAACAAGAGGAATTATGTGTTTTCGAGTTCTTTAGTTTTACAGAGTAAGTCTATATACGACTTGGATCGTATCTGAAGACTCTGTTCAATTATGCTTCAAACGTAAGGCTGACGTCACGCTATGAAAGTTAGCGCAAGAATTATGGTGCATCCCCTCCCTCCCCGAATTGTTCCCATATGATCCATCGCAGGACTGAACGTGGGACACTCAGACATTATTGCGAGCATCCGCAGCCCCTACCGTCGTTATTTGGCGGTGCGCGGGTGCTAACTTCTTGGACTGACCATCCGCGGCCCTAAATTTATTTGTTTGGCAACCTGCGGCTCAATGCTATCGCGAGGAAAAGGCCGCGGGCCATAACTGTTTTACCCGAACACCCGCGGCCCAAGACAAGACACTCGGGCGAGCCCCGGGCCTTACAGGATGCTCTGCATATTTGGTTATCGGACAAGCCGCGGCCCTTTAGGTCACGGCCCAGTAGAACCATTCTGGCGAGCCCCGCGGCCTGCTGGACGCCACAATTCTTACACGCTGGAAGCCAAAACGTTGCTCGCGTGAGATACGCCGCGTTTTTGAGGTACCATAAACGCTTTGGTCTTTGGTTATATACGTTCAGCTTATGACTAGCAACGAAGTCAGTCGTCAAAGCAACGAAGTCAGTCTCCTCAATAGGGCCCTCTGCCAAATTTTGATGTAGATCCTGACCTCCCTGCGAAGGCTAGAAGGGTGAGAACACGAGTTCATAGATCTCCATAAAAATATTTCCGAAAAAATAAAATATTAGCTGGTGCGTATGGGGCCCACCCGCGGACGCATATCGCGCATTTGTCGTTTGATTGGCGGGACACCGCGGGTTTCGTTTGGGCACTTATCGGCGCATCCGCGGGTAGATTTCGCGGGGTTGGCGTGCGTTTATTCTACCACCCACCCGCGGCATGGATGAAACGTCGGCCGGCGCCCTTCTGCGGGTGGTCGCATAATTGTCTGAGCAGGCGTGCCCGTCCCGGGGGTCGTATGGGTTAAGACTGAGAGAGGGTGGGGGTCGTAATTAAGAAACAAATTCGCTCAGAAAATTGAGGATTTACTGTGACTAGAATGAAGGAGGGAAACGCTAGTCCGATATCGCAGTACAGAAAGAATGACGATCGTGAACAGCATACTGATTAATTCCACAGTCAAAGTTTCAGAAAAAAATCAGATCTCCGTTTTTCAACTTGACATATCATAAGGTCGTCAAGGAAGCTTGCCGTGTAAAATGGGTATTATTTCCGTAATCAGCATGCCAAATTACCTCTATGAGCTGTACAAACCATCACCCACTATATTTTCGAACGGCTGAAAAGCGTGATTTGTACATGATTAACTTGGTCACAAAAATGAGATAGCCAGCTATACTCATAACAAACTAATGTTCTTTACCAGACATTTTAAAGGTTAGGCTTTATATCGCTTTCAAATAATGGAGTAAGGAGTGCTGCCAAAATTTCAACCGACACGTTTTTCACCTTGAATGTTTCAATGCTTCAACTCCATGGATTACAAGGCCGTAACAAGTTGAAACAAGCTCAAACACTCACTGTACAGGGTTGGGGGAAAGTCTTTGAACAATTTTTGACGTCATTGTATCTTCGGATTTTCCACATATTCTTGTATGCTAATTATATACGTTTGCTTCTTATACCTTTGGTTACAAATCCTCCAAAAACTGGACTGCTAGCTTCAATTCTGTCGGAGATATGCCTTCTGGAACGGAGCGAGCGTTGATGGCGAAGATGCACGAGGAAAGGATGGCTAACCAGCAGATTGCGCGGACTCCCCAAATTTTACAAATTAGCGTCTGTTCCACCTTGCGTCGTTTCCAGGATATGAACAGCACCCAGAACTGCTGTACGAGTGATAAATTGGCTACTGCGGACACTCACAGATTTCTGAAGATCGTTCGCGAGCGCCATCGTCGCGATCCGCGAAGAAGCTTGATTGAGCGGGGTTCAAAGCTTTTCATCTCTGGTAGAAAATTCTCCGACATCGTGGAACAAAGCCTTGGGATGAAGCTTTTCGAGATGCTAATAATTCATGCTTTTTGGAAAGACACGAAGCTGATTTGACTGCGCGGATGCCATCGAATGCCTGAACGTCTCTTCAAGGCACGCCACCAAACATACTCTTTTCTGACGTCAAATTTTTCACCGTGAAGCAGGTTTTTTGATCGCCAAAACAACAGAGTCGTCACCTAAAGGCCTCAGGAAGCCAATAGCAAGGGTTGACTTGCAGAAGGAAAGCTCATCCGGTTTTTGTGACAATTTGCGCGGCGATCGCTTCCGACAGCAAAATGCCGCTGATTTTTAGGGTCTCAGTGCTTAATATGGAGACTGCCACGCATGTGAATAGCACCGTGAAGAAGGAACTGTTGACCTGTACCAATACTAATTTGCCGAGAGCGATTGGTGCTCACAGCAGGATAGCGCACCTGCGCACAAAGTGAAGGTTGTTCAAGCATGGCTCCAAAGCAATGTTAAGGACTTCATTACTCCTTTGGAATGGCCTCCGTTTTGGCCGGATTTGAATACCCTTGACTACCGCAAGTGGTAAATTCTTTAGGCCGAAGCCTGTGCTCACTCACGCAAGACTGTGGAGTCTCTGCGACGTGCTCTCCAGGATGCGTGGGAGGAAGTCGACGTGGAGCACCTACGTGCCACCGTGGACAGCGTTCTCAAGCGATGTCGAGCTTGTATTCGCGGCAAAAGAGGAATCTTCGAATTGTAAAGTCAGTTTTATATAGCAGACAGTTGAGTATACATTATCTATTTATTTCATGTAACCATCTTGCCTAGCTTCATCATTACGATAAAAATACCGTGTTCAAAGACTTTCCCCCAACCCTGTAGAATCTTCGAGGTTCGTGCTAGTGAACCACATAACCTGGGTGGAAAAGCTCTTCGAAAAAAAGTTAATAGGGTCAGGAACGCCCCTCAGGTCAAGCTGCCTGAGCTTTTGTAGCCTTGCTCCTGACCCCCTTAACTTGCTCAGTATTCAAAAAATGGCGCCTTTTTTAGTATAACCATCGAGTACAAGGCCTCTTTTTACTATTTGGAGGCAAACACTCCACCCCTGTGAATATTATAGCTTTGAAAAGAGGGCTACCCAGATCCAAAATTTGCCTTTAAGTTGGTTGTGCGCACAGTCGTTCAATCGCAGAAAATCGGGCCTACTGTTTCAGAAAACAGCAACCCTTCAGTAAAGGCTGACCTTCTTCGAGATGTTACAGCCAGAGGTCCTGGTGTTGGAACGGAGGTGTCGTTTGGGGGCTTTCTAGGAGGGGGGTCGTTTTTGGAGGAACTTGTGCTGGCCTCTTGCTCCACCCTGGTTAGAACCATTTTTCGCCGTTTTCGCCCCAGTGTGGTTTTTCAGATTCAGCATAGCGAATAGGCCCGGATAAGCTCAACAGTTACTAGGAGGGCAAATAGATACTATCAAACTGACATTAAATGAAATGGAATTATAGCATGCAGAATTGCCACTTCATTACCAGTTTAGAACATTCCAAACAAAAACATCTATCCGCAGACCTGAACTTGAATATCTGCCTTCTATTATATCTGCAATGATCTTACGAGCATGACGTGGAGTGGCAATGTTGTATGAACGGTAGTCTGCTTACCATGGTTAGAGGTTTTTGTGTTTGAACTTGTGCTTTGAAAACGAAGCAAAGTGCACACTGTGATTATCTGCAGTACAGGATGCAGGTTTCTTGTTGTGTGAAGAATGAATTTAGTGCAACTTGAGCTTACAACGATAGCGCAAAAAGAGTGAAGGCGGAAATTTGAGCGCAGTACTGCGGTTAGTAAAAGTCAGTTTTCTTTTGACAGCGAAACTTCAGACAATTTGAGTGCTTATCTTGCTGTGCATCTGGAACTTAGACGATCCCCGTTGCATTCAAATCAGCTGCGAAGCTGCAGATGCTACTGGATTATAGGTCGTAAAAGGCACTTTTGGCCTACCGTAATCAGAATTAGGGTGACGGTAATGTTGGCTGCACAGACATGTAACTTCACGCCTCGGCCTGTTGCCGCGCGATACGCCGCCTCATCATTGGGATGAAAATGGCTTCCTTTGATTTGGCTAGTCCATCCCGAATATCTATTCTGTTTTCCCGTTACTTGTCTTTCCTCCTGGGGAGTGTTGCGAAAGAAGTGTTGCGAATGAAGAGATTAGAATGTATCTTCTTGCTGCAATCACCGATGACATCGTTCATTGCTGGATACATGGTTAAGTGTGGCACCAAGATAAACAAGCTTGTTGCAACTGCTACCAGAAACAATGCTCCATGAATGGAATTTTCTGAAGCTGACTTCTAGCAACAAAACATCGCTCATAATGTAGATTTTAGTTACAATTTACTAATTACGCGCACAGATCTAGCTGTGAGCGCGTCCTTTGACATGTCATATGACTGCTATACACGAGTTTAATTGTCTTTACTTCCAAGTGAACTGTTTCATTTAGGCGACGTATAGGAATGCTTAGCTTTTCGCCCGTGCACCGACAAGATCTCGTTTTTTGAGCTCTTAGCCATCCACAAAGTTGACAAAAAAAAAGTTTAAAGACCGGTCATGAACGAAAACGATACCTATACTCATTAAAGGATTCGTCAAATTGGAAGAACTACAACATACTTTATGTGACGTTTATCTTCAGAAGATAAGCAGCGCAAAACAGAACTGATTATGCAGTGTCTTGATGTCAATTGAATACAATAACTTCCCTCTCTCTTTGACGGCTTTGTTTCAGTTTACAAGGACTAGGGTCACGGTCACTATAAAGCGTAGTAATTTGGCGTCAATCGCCTGTCCTTGTTGCCATGTTA